CCATTTTTGGGTGTCTCACCCCATTTATGCTGTTTCTCACCCCATTTTTGGAGTTTCTCGCCCCGTTTTTTCAATCCCAGACCCATTTTTTGGGTGTCTGACCCCATTTCTGGAGTTTCTCCCCCCATTTTCGGCCCCCTCACCTTCTGGGCGGCGCCGCCCCGGCCGAGCCGCAGCAGCACGAGGTTCCCGCGCGGCGCCGCCCCCCGAGCCCGGAGCTGCTGCAGGTCCTGGGGGCGCCCGTAGTGCCCGAACACCAGCCCCCCCTGGCAGGGGCAAAGGTCAGGGGTCAGCAGGGGTCAGCGGGGTCAGCGGGGTCAGCAGGGGTCAGTGGGGGTCATCAGGGGTCAGCGGGGTCAGCAGGGGTCATTGGGGGCAGTGGATGGCAGGGGGGGCAGTGGGGGCAGTGGGGACAGGGGGGTCAGGGGTCATGGTCAGGGTTCAGGGTTTGTGGGCGGGGGTCAGGGGTCAGCAGGGGTCAGCAGGGGTCAGCAGGGGGTCATTGGGGTCATTGGGGTCAGCAGGGGGTCATTGGGGTCAGCAGGGGTCATCAGGGGTCAGTGGGGGTCATCAGGGGGTCAGGGGGGTCAGCAGGGTCAGCGGGGTCAGCGGGGTCAGCGGGGGGTCAGCGGGGGTTATCAGGGGGTCATTGGGGTCATTGGGGCAGTGGGGTCAGCGGGGTCAGCAGAGGTCATCGGGGGTCATTAGGGGGTCATTGGGGGTCAGCGGGGTCATCGGGGGTCAGCAGGGTCATTGGGGTCATCGGGGGTCATTGGGGTCATTGGGGGTAGGGGAGGCAGTGGAAGCAGTGGGGTCAGGGGTCATGGTCAGGGGTCATGGTCAGGGTTCAGGGTTTGCGGGCAGGGGTCAGGGGTCATCAGGGGTCAGCAGGGGGTCATTGGGGGGTCATTGGGGGCAGTGGGGGCAGTGTGGGCAGGGGGGTCAGGGGTCATGGTCAGGGGTCATGGTCAGGGTTCAGGGTTCGCGGGCAGGGGTCAGGGGTCAGCAGGGGTCAGCAGGGTCATCAGGGGGTCATCAGGGGTCAGGGGGGGCAGGGGGGGCAGTGGGGCAGTGGGGTCAGGAGTCATGGTCAGGGTTCAGGGTTTGCGGGCGGGGGTCAGGGGTCATCAGGGGTCAGGGGTCAGGGGTCACGCTGACCGTGGCGGTGCCGGGGGCGCTCCAGGCGCAGAAGGCGTCGGGGTCCAGCGGGAGCCGCTCCAGCTCCTCCCCCCCCGGCCCCACCCAGCTCAGGGTCACCTCCCCCCTGGGGGCAAAGGTCAAAGTGCAGGGGTCAGCCACGATCCACTATAACCCCCCCAGGTTCTTCGGTGACCCCTCCCCCGCCCCAGTGACCAGCCCCCATGTTGACCCCGCCATGACCCGGCGGTGACCCCGCGGTGACCCCGCGGTGACCCCGCGGTGACCCCGTTACCTGACCGGGAGGGGGAGGGGCTGTGGGCGGCTCCAGGCCCGGCTCAGCCCCGCCCCCCCCAGGGCGCTGAGCACCGATTGGGCGAGAGCGCGGCCACGCCCCGACCCCGCCCCGTGCGGCCCCGCGCTGACCTCCCTGCGGCCGGAGGGCAAAGGTCAGGGGTCACGGGGGTCAGAGGTCACTCGACTGAGCCACGCCTCTGCCCGCTGACATTGAGTGGGGGTCAGGGGTCAGTGGTCACTCAGGGGTCAGGGGTCACTCACAGGTCAGTGGTCACTCAGGGGTCAGGGGTCACTCAGGGGTCAGTGGTCACTCACAGGGATCAGTGGTCACTCAGAGGGGTCAGGGGTCAGGGGTCAGGGGTCACCCACCTGACCCAGGCCTCCACCCGCTCCTCCCACAGGTGGGCAGCGGGGGTCATAGATCAGTGGTCAATCAGAGGGGTCAGTGGTCACTCAGGGGTCACTCAGGGGTCAGGGGTCAGGGGTCAGTGGTCACTCACAGGGGTCAGTGGTCACTCAGGGGTCAGGGTCAGGGGTCAGGGGTCAGTGGTCACTCAGAGGGGTCAGGGGTCAGGGGTCGGGGTCAGGGGTCAGGGGTCACCCACCTGACCCAGGCCTCCACCCTCTCCGCCCGCAGGAGTGCAGTGGGGGTCAGAGGTCAGTGGTCACTCAGAGGGGTCAGGGGTCACTCAGGGGTCAGGGGTCACTCACAGGGGTCAGTGGTCACTCAGAGGTCAGGGGTCACTCAGGGGTCACTCACAGGGGTCAGTGGTCACTCTCGGGGGTCAGGGGTCAGGGGTCAGGGTCACCCACCTGACCCAGGCCTCCACCCGCTGACATTCAGTGGGGGTCAGAGGTCAGTGGTCACTCACAGGGGTCAGGGGTCAGTGGTGAATCACAGGGGTCAGGGGTCAGTGGTCAGTCACAGGGGTCAATGGTCAGGGGTCAGAGGTCACCCACCTGACCCAGGCCTCCACCCTCTCCGCCCGCAGGTGGCGCCGCAGCAGCTCCCGCAGGCGGGGCCGGGGGGGCGGAGCCTCGGCGTTGGCCCCGCCCCAAACCCCGTCGGGGGCGGAGCCTCCGGGCACAGGCCCCGCCCCCACGGCCACGCCCCCGCACGGGGATCGGCCAATCGCAGCCAGCAGCAGCCCTGGGGGCGTGGCCGAGGTCACTCAGGGGTCACTCGGGGTTCGCTCAGGGGTCGCTCAGGGGTCAGGGGTCAAAGGTCACGTACCCAGCAGGAAGGCGGCGGCCGAGCTCAGCCCCAGCGCCGCCCAGGGGTGGAGCCGGGGGCGGGGCCTGCGGTGGGGGCGGGGCCGGGGGCGGGGCAACCGCACCGTTGGCTCCGCCCCTTCTTCATCCTCATCCTCATCCTCCTCCTCCTGCCCCTCCCCCGCCCGGGGGGGGTCCCTGTGCCGCGAGTAGGAGACGGGACCCCCCCCCACGGGGGGCTGCGACCGCCGTCAGGGGTTTGGGGGGGTTTGGGGGGGTTTGGGGGAATTTGGGGGAGATTTGGGGGGATTTGGGGGGAATTGGGGGGGTATTTGGGGGGATTTGGGGGGGATTTGGGGGGGATTTGGGGGGATTTGGGAGGGTTTGGGGGGATTTGGGGGGGTATTTGGGGGGGATTTGGGGGGATTTTGGGGTCCCCAAAATCCGGGGGGGCTCCAGGACGGGGGGGAGGGGCTTTACCCGTCCGAGGAAGCAGCGGCGGAGGAGGGGCTCCATGGCTGGGGGGTCCTGGGGGGTCCTGGGGGGTCCTGGGGGGGCTCAAAAGGGTCCTGGGGAGGGATTGGGAGGGAATTGAGGGGTCCTGGGGGGGTCCTGGGGGGAGATCCGGAGGTCCCAGGGGGTCCTGGGGGGATTTTGGGGGGTCTCGGGGGGTCTCCAGGGGTCTCGGGGGGTCATGGGGGGGTCTCAGAAGGTCATGGGGGGATTTTGGGGGGGTCTCGGGGGGTCTCCAGGGGTCTCAGGGGGTCATGGGGGGGGTCTCGGGGGGTCATGGAGGGGGAGATTGGGGGTCCTGGGGGGGTTCTGATGGGATCAGGGGGGTCTTGGGGGGTCTCCAGGGGTCTCGGGGGGTCATGGGGGGAAAATTGGGGGTCCTGGGGGGGAAATTGGGGGTCCTGGAGGGGGTTCAGAGGGTCCTGGGGGGTCCCAGACACATCTGTGGGTCCCGGGGGGATCTCGGGGTGTCCCGAGGGTCTCCGCGCCCCCCCGGTGGGGTCTGGGGGTGTCCCCAGAGCGTTTCGGGGTCTCGGGGGGGGTCCGGGGGTCCCCAGGGCCGCGTTTCCCCTCCCCCCCCCCCAAAAATTAGACTTTGCCCCCGGGCGGACTCTGCCCCTCCTCCACCCCAAATCCGCCTCCCCCACAACCCCCGAACCCCCGTGGGGACCCCCGAGCCCTCCTGAGCCCCCCCAAATCCCTTAAATATTCCAAAATCCCCCAAAATTCCCAAAAATCGCCGAAATTCCCCCAAAATCCGCTCCCGCTCACCGCGGCCGCCGCTCCGGCCCCGCCCCCGAGGTGAGAAAAAGGGGCGGGGCCTGGAGGGGGCGGGGCCTGGAGGGGCGGGGCCTAGAGGGGGCGGGGCTTGTGTGGAAAGGGGCGTGGTCAGAGAAGCTGGGGGGATTTAGGGTGATTTTGGGGGGATTTGGGGGGATTTTGGGGGGATTTTGGGGGATTTTGGGGGATTTTGGGGGGGATTTGGGGGGATTTTGGGGGATTTGGGGGATTTTGGGGAATTTTGGGGGATTTTGGGGGATATTTTGGGGGATTTTGGGGGATTTGGGGAAGATTTGGGGGGATTTTGGGGGATTTTGAGGGATTTTGGGGGATTTTGGGGGTTTTTGGGGGATTTGGGGGGATTTGGGGGGATTTGGGGGGATTTTAGGGGATTTTGGGGGGATTTGGGGGGATTTTGGTGGATTTGGGGGGGATTTTCGGGGCTCCAGGGTGTTCCCAGTTTTGGGGGTCCCGGTTCGGGGTCCCGGGATATTTTGGGGTCCCGTTCGGGGGTCCCAGCTCAGCCGCCCAGTTTTGGGGTCCCTTTGGGGGTCCCGGTTTTCGGGTCCCGGGATAATTTGGGGTCCCGGTTTTGGGGTCCCGGGGTATTTTGGGGTCCCTTTGGGGTCCCGGGGTATTTTGGGGTCCCGGTTTTGGGGTCCCGAGGTATTTTGGGGTCCCGTTTGGGGGTCCCATCACATCATTCCAGTTTTGGGGGTACATAAATACTCTCGTGTTTGCATTAAGTTACATGGGGGGGGTTGGGGGCGGGGTCTCCCCTGAGTGACAGCTGTCAATCAATCACCCGCGGGGCCCGGGCAGGCCAGGCTGGGGGGATGATTGACAGCTGTCAATCACCTGCCGGCGCGTGCAACGTGCCGGGGGGAGGGGCGGGGGGATGAGAGATGATGGACAGCTGTCAGCGTAAATGATTGACAGCCGTCAGCGCAGATGATTGACAGCTGTCAGCGCAAATGATTGACAGCCATCAGCGCTGCTGATTGACAGCTGTCAGTCCTGGCGATCCACGGTGATTGACAGCTATGTGATGATGATTGACAGATGTCAGTGGTGCTGATTGACAGCTGTCAGTCCTGGTGATCCACGGTGATTGACAGCTCTGTGAGGATGATTGGCAGCTGCTGGTGATGATGATTGACAGCTGTCAGTGTTGATATTTGATGGATGAGTGACAGCTGTCAGTCAAGAATAGCCGGAGGAGTGATAGCTGTCATTGGTGATTGATTGACAGCTGTCAGCGGTGATTGTTTGACAGCTGTCATCGGTGATTGATTGACAGCTGTCGGTGGTGATAACTGACAGCTTTCTGTGCTGGTATTTGGTGGATGATTGACAGCTGTCAGCGGTGATTGATTGATGGACAGCTGTCAGTCAGGAACAGCCGGTTGATGATTGATTGACTGCTGTCAGCGGTGATATTTGATTGATTGACAGCTGTCAGTCAGGAACAGCCGGATGATTGATTGGCAGCTGTCAGCGGTGATGATTGATTGATGATTGACAGCTGTCAGCGGTGATTGACAGCTGTCAGCGGTGAATGATTGATTGACAGCTGTCAGCGGTGATTGATTGATGGACAGCTGTCAGTCAGGAACAGCCGGATGGTTGATTGACAGCTGTCAGCGGTGATATTTGCCGGATGATTGGCAGCTGTCAGCGATGATTGATTGATTGACAGCTGTCAGTCAGGAACAGCCGCACCTTCCCCCGCAGGAAGCGGCTCAGGACCCCCAAAAGCCGCGGAACGTTCCGGACCCGCACCGGGCCGGGAGGGGGGAGGGGCGTGGGCGGGGCCTGCGGGGGGGGGGGGTCACGGTCAGCCCCGGACCCCCCCAAAATCCCCAAAGCCCCCCAGGACACCCCAAAAATCCCGGACCCCCCAAAAGGCCCGAAATGCCCCCGGACCCCCTTAAACCGCCCCAAAACTCCCCCGGACCACCCAAAAAACCCAAAGCTCCTCCCAAAAACCTCAAACAACGCTCGCCGGACCCCCCAAAAACCCCGAAACTCCCCCAGGACCCCCAAAAACTCCCCACCCGACCCCCACAAACCACCCCAAATTCCTCCCAAAACCCCCCAAACCCCCCCCAATTTCCCCAATTACCCCCGGTACCAAAACCACCCTAAATCCCCCCAAAACACCCCAAAACCCCCCCAAGACCCACCTCAATCCCCCCAAAATCCCCCTGAATCCCCCCCGAACCCCCCCAAATCCCCCTGAATCCCCCCGAACCCCCCCAAATCCCCCCAGTGCCCCCGGTACCGGCGCCGCCATCCCCCGCAGCAGCCGCGCCAGGCACCAAAACCCCCCTAAATCCCCCCAAATCCCCCCAAAACCCCCCTAAATCCCCCTAAATCCCCCCAAAACCCCCCAAACCCCCCCAAACCCCCCCGAATCCCCCCGGTTCCCCCGGTACCGGCGCCGCCAGCCCCCGCAGCAGCCTCGCCCGGCACCAAAACCCCCCTAAATCCCCCAAAACCCCCCCCAAACCCCCCAATTCCCCCCGGTGCCCCCGGTACCGGCGCCGCCAGCCCCCGCAGCAGCCTCGCCCGGCACCAAAACCCCCCAAAACCCCCCAAATCCCCCCAAATCCCCCCGAATCCCCCCGGTCCCCCCGGTACCGGCGCCGCCAGCCCCCGCAGCAGCCGCGCCAGGCTCCGCGCCGCTCCGTGCGCTCGGTCCAGGCTCGGGCGCACCCGCGGGTCCCGGAGCTGCTCCCGCGCCCGCAGCACCGCGGCCGCCAGCGCCGCCTGACCCGCCGCCACCTCCCGCGCCCGGGACCGCGCCTGCGACACCGGCGGGACACGGCGGGACACCGGCGGTCACCGGGGGTCACCGGGGGTCACCACCGGCACCGCCGCCCCGCGCCCGGCCCCCGTTCCCCGCGGTTCTCCCGCTTTTCCCGCGGGTCTGCCCCGTTCCCGTCCCGGTTCTCTCCGTCCCTGCGAGTTTTGCCCCGTTTTTCCCGGATTTCAGCCCAGTTTGTCCCGTTTCCCCCACATTTCAGCCCGGTTTGTCCCGTTTCTCCCCCTTTTTCCCGGACTTCATCCCGGTTTGTCCCATTTCTCCCCGTTTTCCCCGGATTTCAGCCCAATTTGTCCCGTTTCTCCCCGTTTTCCCCAATTTCAACCCAATTTGTCCCGTTTCTCCCCCTTTTTCCCGGACTTCAGCCCGGTTTCTCCCCGTTTTCCCCGAATTTCAGCCCAATTTGTCCCGTTTCTCCCGGTTTCTCCCCATTTTCCCTGATTTCAGCCCGGTTTGTCCCATTTCTCCCCATTTTCCCTGATTTCAGCCCGGTTTTCCCCGTTTCTCCCCGATTTTCCCCATTTCTCCCAATTCCTCCCATACATTTTTCCCGATTTCCCGGGATTTCTCTCCGATTTCCCGGGATTTCTCCCGGGTTTCTCCCGGTTTCTCCCGGTTTTTCCCGGTTTCCCGGGATTTCCCCCCGTTCCTCCGGGATTTCTCCCGGTTTTTCCCGGTTTTTCCCGGTTTCCCGGTTTTTCCCGGTTTCCCGGGATTTCTCCCGGTTTCTCCCGGTTTTTCCCGGTTTCCCGGGATTTCTCCCGGTTTTTCCCGGTTTCTCCCGGTTTTTCCCGTTTTCCCGGGATTTCGCCCCATTCCCACTCACGTCCAGGCTCCGCCAGAAGTTGAAGTTGACTCCGGGGTCGGGGACAGCCACGGGCTCGGGGAGGTCACAGGGGGGGCCACACCCGGCCTGGGGGGGGGGGGGGGAGGACACGGTGACACCCCCGCCGCGACCCCCGAGACCCCCCCCCCACCCACCGCCCATCCCCCACCGTGATGTCCCCCCCGTGCCCCCCCCCGTGATGTTCCCGTGTCCCCCCGTGTCCCCACCCGTGATGTCCCCGTGTCCCCCCACGATGTCCCCGTCGGCCCCCCCCAAAATGTCCCCACGCCCCCGATGTCCCCAAGACCCCCAATGTCCCCACGCCCCCCGATGTCCCCTGATGTCCCCGTGACCCCCAATGTCCCCAATGTCCCCACGCCCCCCCACGCCCCCCGATGTCCCCACGTCCCCTCAAGCTCCCTGATGTCCCCACGCCCCCCGATGTCCCCAAGTCCCCCCGATGTCCCCACGCCCCCGGTGTCCCCACGCCCCCCCATGTCCCCACGCCCCCGGTGTCCCCCCGATGTCCCCCCGATGTCCCCATGCCCCCGATGTCCCCAAGTCCCCCCGGTGTCTCCCCGGTGTCCCTGCACCCCCCACGTCCTCCAATGTCCCCAAGTCCCCCCGATGTCCCCCCGATGACCCCCGGTGTCCCCACACCCCCGGTGTCCCCGATGTCCCCCCGGTGCCCCCCGGTGTCCCCAATGTCCCCAATGTCCCCAATGTCCCCACGCCCCCGGTGCCCCCAATGTCCCCCCGGTGTCCCCCCGGTATCCCCACACCCCCAGTGTCCCCCCGATGTCCCCCCGGTGTCCCCCCGGTGTCCCCCCGGTGTCCCCGGTATCCCCCCCGGTGTCCCCGGTGTCTCCCCAAGTATCCCCACGCCCCCCGGTGTCCCCGCGCCCCCGGTGTCCCCCGATGTCCCCCCGATGTCCCCACAGCCCCTCGGTGTCCCCCCGATATCCCCGCGGTGTCCCCCCGGTGTCCCGGTGTCCCCTCACCGCCCCCCGGTGTCCCCCCGGTGTCCCGATGTCCCCCCGCTGTCCCCCCGATGTCCCCCCGATGTCCCCCCGGTGTCCCCCCGGTGTCCCGGTGTCCCCCCGGTGTCCCCCGATGTCCCCACGCCCCCGTGTCCCCCCGGTGCCCCCCCGGTGTCCCCAATGTCCCCCCGGTGTCCCCAATGTCCCCCCGGTGTCCCCCGATGTCCCCCCATTGTCCCCCCGGTGTCCCGGTGTCCCTCACCGCCCCCCGCTCGGCCTCCCGCGCCTCCAGGATGAACCGTTCGATCACTCGGGGGTCGCAGAGCGAGGGGGGGGTCTCGGGGGGGGGCTGGGGGCGCCCCGGGACCCCCAACAGCAGCAGCAGCAGCGCCGCGCACAGCCCTGGGGGGCGTGGGGAGCGTCACGGGTGGGGAGGGGTCACCACGCGGGACCCCCGGAGAACCGGAGCGCCCACCCGGGAATGACCCCCCCGCCCACCCGGGACACCGGGGACCACCGGGATACCGGGGATCACCGGGATACCGGAGACCCCCCCTACACCCACCCACCGCTCCCACCCACGCGTGTCCCGCACCCCCGTGGGTGTCCCCACTCACCCGGGACACCGGGGACCACCGGGACACCGGGGACCACCGGGACACCGGAGACCACCGGGACACCGGAGACCCCCCCACACACACACACACGCACCCACCCCCCCACCCACGCGTGTCCCGCACCCCCGTGGGCGCCGCCGCTCATCCAGGACACCGGAGACCACCGGGACACCGGAGACCACCGGGATACCGGGGATCACCGGGACACCGGAGACCCCCACAAACACACCCACCGCTCGCACCCACGCGTGTCCCGCTCCCCCGTGGGTCCCCCCCGCTCACCCGGGACACTGGAGACCACCGGGATACGGGGGACCACCGGGACACCGGGGACCACCGGGATACGGGGGACCACCGGGACACCGGAGACCCCCCCACACAAACCCACCGCTCCCACCCACGCGTGTCCCGCGCCCCCGTGGGTGCCCCCGCTCACCCGGGACACCGGAGACCACCGGGACACCGGGGACCACCGGGATACCGGGAATCACCGGGACACACACACCCACCGCTCCCACCCACGCGTGTCCCGCGCCCCCGTGGGTCCCCCCGCTCACCCGCCGCCCCCATCGCCGGCTGCTCATGGCCCGGGGGTCCGTGGCGGCCCCGGGGCTGCGGCGCGTCCCCCGGCCCCGGTGCCGGTTAATGTTTGATCCGAGGGGCCGCGGGGCCGGAAGGGCCCTCGGGGGGGGTTTTCCATCCGCTCCCCCCACGGCCCCTCGAGGAAAAGGCCGCGCCCGCCGCGGCACGTCGGCCCCTGGCCCCGGGCCACCCACGCACCGGGCACGGCGCCGCCGCGGCGGGGGACACCGGCACCGACACCGACATGGGGGGGGGGACACGGACACCGACACGGGGGGGGACACGGACACCGGGGGGGACACGGACACCGGGGGGACACGGACACGGGGGGGACACGGGGATGGGGGGGACACGGACACCGACACGGACACGGGGGGGACACGGACACGGGGATGGGGGGGAGCACGGACACGGGGGGACACGGGGATGGGGACACGGCGGGGACACGGGGACGGGGGAATGGGGACACGGAGGGGACACGGGAAATGGGGGAATGGGGCACGTGGGAGAGACACGGAGGTGACACGGGGACGGGGGAACGTGGGGGGCACACGGAGGTGACACGGGGACGTGAGGGGGACACGAAGGGGACATGGGAAATGGGGGACGTGGGGGGGACACGAAGGGACACGGAGGGGACACGGGGCAGGAAAACGGGTGACAGGGGACGGGGAGCGGGACACGGGGTGTGGGGACACGGGTGGGACACGGGGACAGGTGAATGGGGCACACGAGTGGGGGACACGGACGGTGACACCAGCACGGGGAGGGGGACACGGACGGTGACACCGACATGGGGACGGGGACACCGGGACGGGGAGAGGGACACGGATGGTGACACTGTCACGGGGACGGGGACATGGACGGTGACACTGTCACGGGGACGGGGACATGGACGGTGACACTGTCACGGGGACGGGGACACGGACGGTGACACTGTCACGGGGAGGGGGACACCGGGACGGAGGGGGGGACACGGACGGTGACACCGACACGAGGAGGGGGACACGGACGGTGACACTGACACGGGGACGGTGACACCGGCACGGGGACGGGGACACGGACGGGGACACCGGCACGGGGAGGGGGACACCGGGACGCGGACGGGGACACGCACGGCCGTGGGACGGCCCCGGGGACACCCCGCGCGGGGCCGTGGGACCGCGGTGACACCGGCACGGGGCCACCGGGCCGCGCCAGGCCGGGGGATCCCGGGATCCCTCGGAGCGGCGGAAGCCCCGAACAATGGGACAGCGTCACTGTCGCCGTCACTGTCCCCGTCCCCAGCGCCACCGCGGCCCCGGGGGCGGCCCCGGGAACCCCCGCGCGGGGGGACACGGGGGACACGGGAGGTGACACGGGGGACCCGGGAGGTGACACGGGCCCCCTGCCAGGCCGTACGTGCGGCTCCGCACAGCGCGACCGCGGCTCCGGCGCCAGCGGGGCCAAAGGGCACCGGGGGCGGGGGGACAGCGGCGACAGCGACGTCACCGACACCGCCGGGTCCCCCCCGTGGCACCGGGAGTCCCCGGTGGCTCCCGGATGTCCCCCCCGGAGGGACATGGCAGGGATTGCCCGGGACCGGGGGCTGCTCGTCCGGGGGTCCCCTCGGTCACTCGGGGGTCCCTGTGGCCACCCCGGTGTCCCTTTGGCCACCCAAGTGTCCCTTTGTCACCGGGGTGTCCCTTTGTCACCGGGGTCCCCCTCATTTCCCACCCGCTCCCCCCCACCCGTGGAGGTTTGATGTCCCCAATGTCATTTAATGTCACCTGGAGCCCCCCATTTCCCCCTGGGGATGTCCCCAATGTCATTTAATGTCACCTGCAGCCCCCCAGCTCCCCCCATTTCCCCCTGGGGATGTCCCCAATGTCATTTAATGTCACCTGCAGTCCCCCAGCTCCCCCCAATTCCCCCTGGGGATGTCCCCAATGTCACCTGCAGCCCCCCAGTTCCCCCCATTTCCCCCTGGGGATGTCCCCAATGTCATTTAATGTCACCTGCAGCCCCCCAGTTCCCCCCATTTCCCCCTGGGGATGTCCCCAATGTCATTTAATGTCACCTGCAGCCCCCCAGCTCCCCCCATTTCCCCCTGGGGTTGTCCCCAATGTCACCTGGAGCCCCCCAGCTCCCCCCATTTTCCCCTGGGGATGTCCCCAATGTCATTTAATGTCACCCGGAGCCCCCCATGTCCCCCTGGGGATGTCCCCAATGTCATTTAATGTCACCTGCAGCCCCCCAGCTCCCCCCATTTCCCCCCCCGGACCCTCCCCCAGCGCTCCCCCCACTGTCCCCTGGGTCCCCCAGTGTCACCTGGGGGGTTTCCTGCCCCAAATGTCACCGGTGACGCAGAGGAAGCCCCAGCCCCGCCCCCCCCCACCTCCCCCAAATCCCCCCAAAAACTCTCCGAGGCCTCATTGGCGCTGAATTTATTGGGGTGACACTCCCCAAAGTCCCCGTGTCACCCCCAAAGTCCCCGGGGCTGCTGGAGGGGGGGCTGGGGTGACATCGAGGGGCTCGGGGTGACATTGAGGGGTTGGGGTGACATTGAGGGGATGGGGGTGACAATGAGGGGCTCAGAGTGACATTGAGGGGTTGGCGGTGGCATTGAGGGGCTCACGGTGACACCGAGGGGCTCATGGTGACACCGAGGGGTTCATGGGGACACCGAGCACCCCAGGGTGACACCGAGTGCCCCAGGGTGACATTGAGGGGCTCGGGGTGACACCGAGGGTCTCACGGTGACATTGAGGGGCTCATGGTGACACCGAGGGGCTCACGGTGACACCGAGCACCCCAGGGTGACACCGAGCACCCCATGGTGACATCGGTGCCCCCGTCGGTGGCAGCTCGGTGTCCTCACACCGCCGTGTCCCCGTCCGTGCCGTCCCCCGCTCACGGTGTCCCCGAGCTGTCCCTCAAACCCCTTCCCGGTGCCATCTCCGGTGCCCCGGGGTGTCCCCAACACCCCCGGTGGGTCCCGGTGACCGGGGACACCCCCGGGACACCCCCGGAGCCCCCCGGACCCCGTCAGGCGCAGGGCGCCTCCCGGCAGAGGCGGATGTGGATGGCGGAGTTGTGCCGGGGGGTGTCGCCGTCCTCGCCGCCGGTGTCGCCGCTGTCGCCGGTGTCGCCGGTGTGGCGGCGGCGGGCGCGGGGGGCGCGGAGGGGCACGGAGGAGGTGCTGGCGTGGAGCCGGAGGGTCCCGCCCGCGCCCGCCTGCAGCTGCAGCGCCAGATTGATGGTGCGGGGCACGGCGAGCCCGAGCCCGTGCAGCCGCAGCTCCCCGGGACCACCGGGAGCACCGGGAGCGCCCCCGGGACCACCGGGACCCCCGCCCGGGGCCAGGAGCCGCTGGCAGCGCCGCAGCTGCGCGCGGAAGTCCGAGCGCGACGTCACGAACACGTCGTTGCTACCGGGAGCACCGGCGGGGGGGGAGCCCGGGGGGGGTCCCGGTGCGGCCGCGCCCCGGTGGTGGCGGCGGCGGCGGGAGGGGGGGGGCGGTCCCGGGAGCCCCCCCGGAGGCGGGGACGGAGCCGCGGGGCGAACCGAGGACATGCTGGGGGGGGGGAGGGAGGGGAAAATGGGGAGGGGGCGTCAGGGACCGACACCGGGACCCCCGGGACCCCCGGACCCCCTCCCCCCGAGAGACCCCCCCACCACCGGACCTGCCCCCACCGCTCCCCCCGGAACCCCGAAACCCACCGGGAGCCCCCAAACCCACCGGGACCCCCCAAACCCACCCCGGGACCCCTCCCCGGGGCCCCCCAAACCCACCGGAACCCCCAAACCCACCGGAACCCCCCAAACCCACCGGGACCCCCCCCCGGGACCCCCCAAACCCACTGGGACCCCCCAAACCCACCGGGACTCCCCAAACCCACCGGGACTCCCCAAACCCACCGGGACCCCCCCCCGGGACCCCCAAACACCCTCTGACCTCCCCCCCTTCCCCCACTCCGGGACCCCCTCCCCAAAATCCGCCCCCCTCCCCCCCCCCGCGCGCACCTCGCGCGTCCCGCGCCGCTTCCGCCGCGAGGCCACGCCTCCCGTTAGCCACGCCCCCTCGGCGGGACACGCCCACTCCGAGCCACGCCCCCTCCCCCTGTGGTTTTTTTTGGGGGATTTTTGGGTTTTTTATTCACGGGCAGCGCTCAGCCTCACCCCCCCCCCTCACCAAATCCGCCATTTTGCTGCTTTTAATTAACCAAACCGCTAATTAACGCCGCGCAGGAGCGGGAGGAGGATTGAGTGGGAGTGGCTTTGGGTGAAGCCACGCCCACAAAGGGGCGGGGCCGCGGCGCGCAGGCCACGCCCCCTCCGGTTTAACAAAGGGCCGCGGCGCCTTTAAGCGCGCGAGGGCGCGCGCGCCGCACGGCGGGCGCTGATTGGCCGCGGCGAGGCCACGCCCCCCGCGCGGCGGCGCTGTCCCGGTGCTGAAGGCGCCATGAGCGGCGGCGTCTACGGCGGCGGTGAGGGCGGGGCGGGGCCGGGGGGCGGGGCCAGGGGCGGGGCCAACCGGGAGGGGGGCAAGGGGAGGGGGGGGGTCCCGGTGTCACCGTCCGGTGTCCTCCCGGTGATCGGTGTCATCGTCCGGTGTCCCCCCGGTGATCAGTGTCACCGTCCGGTCCCCCCCCGGTGATCGGTGGGGGTCCCGGTGTCACCCCGGAGGGGTCCCGGTGTTCGGTGGGGGTCCCGGTATCATCGTCCGGTCCCATCCGGTGATCGGTGGGGGTCCCGGTGTCACCGTCCGGTGTCCCCCCGGTGATCGGTGGGGGTCCCGGTGTCACCGTCCGGCCCACCCGGTGTCACCGTCCGGTCCCCCCCCCGGTCCCGGTGTCACCGTCCGGTGTCCCCCCGGTGATCGGTGGGGGTCCCGGTGTCACCGTCCGGCCCACCCGGTGTTCAGTGGGGGTCCCGGTGTCACCGTCGGGGCCCATCCAGTGATCGGTGGGGGTCCCGGTATCACCGTCCGGTCCCCCCCCGGTCCCGGTGTCACTGTCCAGTGTCCCCCCGGTGGTCGGTGGGGGTCCCGGTGCCACCCCGGAGGGGTCCCGGTGGTTTTTGGGAGGTCCCGGGGGTGGGTCCCGGTGTTTTTCGGGGGGTCCCGGTGTTTTTGGGGTGTCCTGGGGGGGGGTCCCGGTGGTTTTGGGTGTCCCGGGGGGGGTCCCAGTGGTTTTCGGGGGTCCCGGGGGGGGTCCCGGTGGTTTTTGGGGGTCCCGGTGGTTTTTGGGGGGGGTCCCGGTGTTTTTCGGGGGTCCCGGTGTCACCCCGGGGGGGGTCCCGGTGTTTTTGGGGGTGTCCCGGTGGTTTTCGGGGTGTCCCGGTGTTTTTCGGGGGTCCCGGGGGGGGGTCCCGGTGGTTTTTGGGGGTCCCGGTGTTTTTCGGGGGTCCCGGGGGGGTGTCCCGGTGGTTTTTGGGGGTCCCGGTGGTTTTTGGGAGGTCCCGGTGGTTTTTGGGGGGGGTCCCGGTGTTTTTGGGGGTCCCGGTGTCACCCGGTGCCCCCGCGCCCTCCCGCAGACGAGGTCGGGGCTTTGGTGTTCGACATCGGCTCCTTCTCGGTGCGCGCGGGATATGCCGGCGAGGACTGTCCCAAGGTCGGTGCCACCGTGTCCCCTCCGCCCGTGTCATTGTCACCCCCCGTGTCATCGTCACCCCCCGGTGTCATTGTCACCACCCCGTGCCCATTGTGGTGACAATGCCACCATCCCCATGACGGTGACAATGCCACCATCCCCACCCTGGTGACAATACCCCCATCCCCACCCTGGTGACAATGCCACAGTCCCCACCCCGGTGACAATGCCACCATCCCCACCCCGGTGACAATGCCACCATCCCCACCCCGGTGACAATGCCACCATCCCCATCACGGTGACAATGCCACCATCCCCATCATGGTGACAATGCCCTGTCCCCATCACGATGACAATGCCCCATCCCCATCCTGGTGACAATGCCACCATCCCACCCCGGTGACAATGCCACCATCCCCATCGCGGTGACAGTGCCACCATCCCCACCCTGGTGACAACGCCACCGTCCCCATCACGGTGACAATGCCACCATCCCCATCACGGTGACAATGCCCTGTCCCCATCATGGTGACAATGCCACCATCCCCATGACGGTGACAATGCCACCATCCCCACCATGGTGACAATGCCACCGTCCCCATCACGGTGACAATGTCACCATCCCCATCACGGTGACAATGTCACCATCCCCACTGAGGTGACAATGCCACCATCCCCATCACGGTGACAATGCCAATCCCCACCCTGGTGACAATGCCACCATCCCCATCATGGTGACAATGCCACCATCCCCATCCTGGTGACAATGCCACCATCCCCACCCCGGTGACAATGCCACCACCCCCATCACGGTGACAATGCCCCATCCCCATCACGGTGACAATGCCACCACCCCCATCACGGTGACAATGCCCCATCCCCATTCTGGTGACAATGCCACCATCCCCATCACGGTGACAATGCCACCATCCCCACCCTGGTGACAATGCCACCATCCCCATCACGGTGACAATGCCACCATCCCCACCCTGGTGACAATGCCACCATCCCCACCCTGGTGACAACGCCACCATCCCCATCACGGTGACAATGCCCTGTCCCCATCATGGTGACAATGCCCTGTCCCCATCCTGGTGACAATGCCACCATTCCCATCCTGGTGACAATGCCACCATCCCCACCCTGGTGACAATGCCCTGTCCCCATCACGGTGACAATGCCCTGTCCCCATCCTGGTGACAATGCCACCATCCCCATTGAGGTGACAATGCCCCATCCCCATCACGGTGACAACGCCCTGTCCCCATCACGGTGACAATGCCACCGTCCCCACCCTGGTGACAATGCCACCACCCCACCCGGTGACAATGCCACCATCCCCATCATGGTGACAATGCCACCATCCCCATCGCGGTGACAGTGCCCTGTCCCCATCATGGTGACAATGCCCTGTCCCCATCCTGGTGACAATGCCACCATCCCCATCATGGTGACAACACCACCATCCCCATTCTGGTGACAATGCCACCGTCCCCACCCTGGTGACAATGCCAATCCCCATCCTGGTGACAATGCCACCATCCCCACCCTGGTGACAATGCCACCACCCCGCCCCGGTGACGACGCCGCGCTGTCCCCAAGGCCGACTTCCCCACCACGGTGGGGCTGCTGTCCCCGGAGGAGGTGGCACTGGAGCTGGACGGGGACAAGGACAAGAAGGGCGGGAAGGTTTATTACATCGACACCAACGCGCTGCACGTGGCGCGGGAGGGCGTCGAGGTCCTGTCCCCGCTCAAGAACGGCATGAGTGAGTGGGGACACCGGGGGACACCCAGGGGACATCGGGGGGACATGGAGGGGACATCGGGGAATGGCATGAGTGAGTGGGGACACCCAGGGGACACGGGGGGACATCGGGGGGACATTGGGGGACATCGGGGGGACACGGGGCATGGGGACATCGAGGGGACACGGGGACATGGGGGAATGGCATGAGTGAGTGGGGACATGGGGACATGGGGACATGGAGGGGACATGGGGACATGGGGGGACATTGAGGGGACATGGGGGAATGGCATGAATGAGTGGGGACATGGGGACATGGAGGGGACATGGGGACACAGGGGACAGTGGGGGGACAGCAGGGACATCAGGGCCAGAGCGGGGACCCTGGAGGACATGGGGGGACAAGGAGGGACAGCAGGGGACATCAGGGCCATAGCGGGGACCCCAGGGGACAACGGCGGGCAAAGGGGACCCCCGTGCCCGGCGGTGTCCCTGATGTCACCCCGCGGGGTGTCCCCGATGTCACCTGCGTGTCCCCAATGTCTCCGGTGTGTCCCCGATGTCCCCCTGCGGTGTGTCCCTGATGTCACCGGCGTGTCCCCGCAGTCGAGGACTGGGAGTGCTTCCAGGCCATCCTGGACCACACCTACGGCAAACACGTCAAGTCGGAGCCGGGGCTGCACCCGGTGCTGATGTCGGAGGCGCCGGTAGGTGCCCCCGCGGTGTCCCCCCGGTGTCCCCCGGTGTCCCCGGTGTCCCCAACGTGCCTGTGCCGCAGTGGAACACGCGCGCCAAGCGGGAGAAGCTGACGGAGCTGATGTTCGAGCACTACAACATCCCGGCGTTCTTCCTCTGCAAGACGGCCGTGCTCACCGCGTATCCTGCTGTCACCCTGTCACCTGGTGTCACCCACCGCTGTGTCACCTGCGGGTCACCCACAGGGTCACCCATGGGTCACCCCGGGTCATCCCAGTGTCACCCATGGGTCTTCCTAGTGTCACCCCTGGGTCATCCCAATGTCACCCCAGTGCCACACCCAGTGTCATCCCAATGTCACCCCCAGTGTCACCCACGGGTCACTCCCAGTGTCACCCACAGGTCATCCCAATGTCACCTCCAGTGTCACCCATGGGTCACCCTGGGCCATCCCAATGTCACTGTGGTGTCACCCCTGGGTCATACCAATGTCATCCCCAGTGTCATCCCAGTGTCACCCGCGGGTCACCTCTGGGTCATCCCAATGTCACCCCCAGTGCCACCCACGGGTCACTCCCAATGCCACCCCAATGTCATCCCAGTGTCACCCCTGGGTCACCCACGGGTCACCCCGGGTCATCCCAGTGTCATTTCAATGTCACCGTGGTGTCACCCACTGCCGCCATGTCACCTCAGTGTCACCCATGGGTCACTCCCAGTGTCACCCCCAGTGTCACCCACGGGTAACTCCCAGTGTCACCCCAATGTCATCCCAATGTCACCCCCTTGTCGCCCCAGTGCCACCCCAATGTCCCCCCCGTGTCACCGTTGTCCTCGGGGCGTGTCCAGGCGTGTCTGGGGGGCGTGTCCAGCCTTAGGGCGTGTCCGGGGGCGTGTCCGAGGGGGCGTGTCCAGCCCCAGGGCGTGGCCGATGGGGGCGTGTCCAGCCCCAGGGCGTGTCCGGGCGTGGCCCTTGACCGGCGCAGCTTCGCCAACGGCCGCAGCACGGGGCTGGTGCTGGACTCGGGGGCCACCCACACCACGGCCATCCCCGTGCACGACGGCTACATCCTGCAGCAAGGTGAGAACACCTGGGGGCACCTGGGGGCACCTGGGGGCACACCTGGGTACAGCTGGGATAAACCTGGGTACACCTGGGATACACCTGGGCACACCTGGGATACACCTGGGCACACCTGGGCACACCTGGGGGCACCTGGGCACACCTGGGATACACCTGGGCACACCTGGGCACACCTGGGGGCACCTGGGCACACCTGGGCACACCTGGGATACACCTGGGGGCACCTGGGATACACCTCGGATACACCTGGGCACACCTGGGCACACCTGGGCACACCTGGGGGCACCTGGGATACACCTCGGATACACCTGGGCACACCTGGGACACACGTGGGACAAAGAAGAACACACCTGGGGCAGGTGAGAGCACACCTGGGGCAGGTGAGAACATACCTGAGGCACACCTGGCCCAGGTGGGAACACGCGGCCCCGCCCCGCAGGTATCGTCAAGTCGCCGCTGGCCGGGGATTTCATCTCCATGCAGTGCCGGGAGCTGTTCCAGGAGCTCAACATCGACATCGTGCCGCCCTACATGATCGCCGCCAAGGTGGGCGTGGCCTCATTGGGCGTGGTCAGTGGGCGTGGCCGGTGGGCCAAGCCACGCCCCCTGTTCATTTTCCGCCCAAGCCACGCCCCCCGTTCATTATCCCACCCAAGCCACGCCCCCGTTCATTATTCCGCCCAAGCCACGCCCCCTGTTCATTATTCCACCCAAGCCACGCCCCCTGTGCATTATTCTGCCCAAGCCACGCCCCCGTTCATTATCCCGCCCAAGCCACGCCCCCGTGCATTATCCCGGCCAAGCCACGCCCCCCGCTCATTATCCCGGCCAAGCCACGCCCCTGTGCATTATCCCGCCCAAGCCACGCCCCCCGTTCATTACCCCGCCCAAGCCACGCCCCTTTCAGGAGCCGGTGCGGGAAGGGGCCCCCCCGAGCTGGAAGAAGAAGGAAAAGCTGCCGCAGGTGTCCAAATCCTGGCACAACTTCACCTGCAACGTGAGCGGGGGGTTTGGGGGGTCCTGGGGGGGGTTTGGGGGGTCCCGGGGGGGATTTGGGGGTCCCAAGGGGAGATTTCGGGGGGTCCCAGGGGGGATTTGGGGAATCCTGTGTGGGATTTGGGTGTCCTAGGGGGGGATTTGGGTGTCCCGGGGGGAATTTCTGGAGTCCCAGGGGAATATTGGGGGTCCCAAGGGGAGATTTGGGGGGTCTCGGGGGGGATTTAGGGGGTCCTGGGGTGGGATTTGGGGGGTCCTGTGGAGATTTTGGGGTCCCGGGGTGATTTGGGGGTCCCAGGGTGGGGACTTTGGGGGTTCTCAGGGGGGATTTGGGGTCCCAGGGGGAGATTTGGGGGTCCCTGGTGGGGGATTTGGGGAGTCCTGTGGATATTTGGGGGTCCTGGGTTGGGATTTTGGGGGTCCTGTGGAGATTTGGGGGTCCCGGGTTGGGGATTTTGGGGGTTCTCAGGGGGGATTTTGGTTCCCAGGGGGAGATTTGGGGGTCCTGTGGAGATTTGGGTGTCCCAGGGTGGGATTTTGGGGGTCCTGTGGAGATTTTGGGGTCCCGGGGGTGATTTGGGGGTCCGGGGGTGGGATTTTGGGGGTCCTTACCCCGTTTTTGGCCCAGGAGGTGATCCAGGACTTCCAGGCCTCGGTGCTGCAGGTGTCGGACTCTCCCTACGACGAGCAGTGAGTGCCGGGGGGGTTTTTGGGGTTTGGGGGGTTTTTTGGGGTCCGGGGGGATTTTTGGGGTTCAGGGGGGTTATTTTGGGGCGGGGGGACCCCAAAACCCGCCGGTTTCCCCCCAGGGTGGCGGCGCAGATGCCCACGGTGCACTACGAGATGCCCAACGGGTACAACACCGACTACGGCGCCGAACGGCTCCGCATCCCCGAGGGGCTCTTCGACCCCTCCAACGTCAAGGTCTGGGGGTCCCGGGGGGAAATTGGGGGTTTGGGGGTCCTGGAGAGGCTCTGAGGGGGTTTTGGGGGTCCTGGAGGAGGTTCTGAGGGGGTTTGGGGGTCCCGGGGGGATTACAGGGGTTTGGGGGTCCTGGGGGAGGGGTCTGAGGGGGTTTTGGGGGTCCTGGGGGGGGGATCAGAGGTTTGGGGGTCCTGGGGAGGGGGTCTGAGGGGGTTTGGGGGTCCTGGGGAGGGGGTCTGAGGGGGTTTGGGGGTCCTGGGGAGGGGTCTGAGGGGGTTTGGGGGTCCTGGAGGGGCTCTGAGGGGGTTTGGGGGTCCTGGGGAGGGGTCTGAGGGGGTTTTTGGGGGGCTCAGGGAGGTCCCAGTGGGGTTTTTGGGGGGGCTCAGGGAGGTCCCGGGGGGCTCTGAGGGGGTTTTTGGGGGGCTCAGGGAGGTCCTGGGGGGCTCTGAGGGGAATTTTGGGGGGCTCAGGGGGGCTCACAGGATTTTAGGGGGCTCGGGGAGGTCCCGGGGGGCTCTGAGGGGGTTTTTGGGGGGCTCAGGGTGGTCCTGGGGGGCTCTGAGGGGATTTTTGGGGGGCTCAGGGGGGCTCACAGGGTTTTGGGGGACTCAGGGAGGTCCCGGGGGGCTCTGAGGGGGTTTTTGGGGGGCTCAGGGGGGCTCACAGGATTTTGGGGGGATCAGGGAGATCCTGGGGGGCTCTGAGGGGATTTTTGGGGGGCTCAGGGGGGCTCACAGGATTTTGGGGGGCTCAGGGAGATCCCGGGGGGCTCTGAGGGGATTTTTGGGGGGCTCAGGGGGGCTCACAGGATTTTGGGGGGATCAGGGAGATCCCGGGGGGCTCTGAGGGGATTTTTGGGGGGCTCAGGGGGGCTCACAGGGTTTTGGGGGGCTCAGGGGGGGGCTCACAGGGTTTTGGGGACCCCCCTGACCCCCCAGGGCCTCTCGGGGAACACCATGCTGGGCGTGGGGCACGTGGTGACCACGAGCATCGGGATGTGCGACATCGACATCCGGCCGGTGGGTGCGGTTCGGGGGTCCCAGGGGGCGCGGGGGGCGGCGGGGACACCCCCAAATCCCGTGGGTGTCCCCCCCGTGTCCGTGTCCCCCCAGGGGCTGTACGGCAGTGTCATTGTCACCGGGGGGAACACGCTGCTGCAGGGCTTCACCGACCGCCTGAACCGCGAGCTGGCCCAGAAAACGCCCCCGGTGAGGGACCCCCCGAAATGGGGACCCCCAAATTGGGGCTGGGGGCTGGGGGGACCCCAAACCCCCCGAAATGGGGCGGGGGGCTGGGCAGGGGACCCCAAACCCCCCCAATTGGGGCTGGGGGCTGGGCAGGGGGGACCCCAAACCCCCCGAATTGGGGACCCCCAAATGGGGCTGGGGGCTGGGGAGACCCCAAACCCCTCGAATTGGGGCTGGGGGCTGGGGGGATCCCAAACCCCCCGGTGAGGGACCCCAAATGGGGACCCCCAAATGGGGCTGGGGGCTGGGGGCACCCCAAACCCCCCGAATTGGGGCTGGGGGCACCCCAAACCCCCCGAATTGGGGATGGGGGCTGGGCAGGGGGGACCCCAAACCCCCCTGTGAGGGACCCCCAATTGGGGCTGGGGGCTGGGGGGACCCCAAACCCCCCCAATTGGGGCTGGGGGCTGGGCAGGGGGGACCCCAAACCCCCCGAATTGGGGCTGGGGGCTGGGGAGACCCCAAACCCCCCGAATTGGGGCTGGGGGCTGGGGAGACCCCAAACCCCCCGAATTGGGGATGGGGGCGGGGCAGGGGGGACCCTAAACCCCCCAAATTGGGGACCCCCAATTGGGGCTGGGGGCTGGGCAGGGGGGACCCCAAACCAGTTGCTCCCAGTTGCCCCCCAGTTGCCCCCCAGTTCCTCCCAGTGCCTCCCAGTTGCCCCCAGTGCCCCCCAGTGCCCCCCAGTTGCTCCCAGTGCCTCCCAGTTGCCCCCAGTGCCCCCCAGTGCCCCCCAGTTGCTCCCAGTGCCTCCCAGTTGTCCCCCAGTTGCCCCCAGTGCCCCCCAGTTGCCCCCAGTGCTCCCCAGTTGCCTCCCAGTTGCTCCCAGTCATTCCCAGTTGCCCCCCAGTGCCCCCCAGTTACCCCCAGTTGCCCCCCAGTGCCTCCCAGTTGCCCCCCAGTGCCTCCCAGTTGCTCCCAGTCATTCCCAGTTGCCTCCCAGTGGTTCCCAGTGCCTCCCAGTTGCCCCCCAGTTGCCCCCCAGTGCCCCCCAGTTGCCCCCCAGTGGTTCCCAGTTGCTCCCAGTGATTCCCAGTTCCCCCAGTTGCCCCCCAGTTGCCCCCCAGTCCCCCCAGTCCCCCCAGTGCCCCCAGTGACCCCCTCTCCCAGAGCATGCGCCTGAAGCTGATCGCCAGCAACAGCACCATGGAGCGGCGCTTCAGCCCCTGGATCGGCGGCTCCATCCTGGCCTCGCTCGTGAGTCGGGGTCCCGGGGGCCCCAAATCCCCTAAAACCCCCCAAAACCCCCAAAAACACCCCAAACCACCCTAAACCACCCCAAACCCGCAGGGCACCTTCCAGCAGATGTGGATCTCCAAGCAGGAGTACGAGGAGGGCGGCAAGCAGTGCGTGGAGCGCAAGTGTCCCTGAGGGGACCCCGAAACCCATCGGGAGGGGCTGAGGGGGACCCCAAAACCCCTCGTGAGGGGGACCCCAAAGCCCTTCATGAGGGGCCTGAGGGGGACCCCAAAACCCCTTGTGAAGGGGACCCCAAAACCCCTTCATGAGGGGGCTGAGGGGGCCCCAAAACCCCTCGTGAGGGGGACCCCAAAACCTCTTCATGAGGGGGACCCCAAGGCCTCATCGTGATGGGGACCCCAAAAACCATCGTGAGGGGGACCCAAACCCTTCATGAGGGAGACACCAACCCCTTCATGAGGGGAACCTCATATCCCACCATGAGGGGCCTGAGGGGGACCCCAAAACCCCTCGTGAGGGGAACCCCAAACCCTTCATGAGGGGGCTGAAAGGGACCCCAAAACCCCTTCATGAGGGGCTGAGGGGGACCCCAAACCCCTTCATGAGGGAGACCCCAAACCCCTTCATGAGGGGGACCCCAAACCCCATCGTGAGGGGAACCTCACATCTCACCATGAGGGGGCTGAGCGGGAGGCACCGCGCGTCGGTGCCGGGGGTGGGTGGGGGTCCCCGATTTCGCTGTTTTCAGCCCCCTCCGCCCCCCCACAAAAATAAAAAAAAATTAAAATTAAAATTAAAATAAAAGAAGCGGCGCTTCCCGCGCGCTCGGTCACGTGACCCGCGTGAGGGGGTTTGGGGGGGGGGGCGAGGCGCGCGCGGCACGTGCCGGACCGAAATCTCGCGTGAGCCGCGCGAGAGCGCGCGCGCGCCCCCCGTCCCCGTTACCGGGGAGAGAGAGCCGGTTCGGTGACGTCACTAACGGGAACGGTGACGTCACGAAGCGGGAACGGTGACGTGAAAGCTCGGCCGAAAGGGGCTGAGGAGAGACCGGCGCTGGAACGGGAGGGGCTCTCTGTGTGCGTGTGTGTGTGTGTGTGTGGGGCGAGAAGGAGCGCGCACCGCGCACGCGCGGCCCCCCGCGCGGACTACAAGTCCCGGCAGCCCCCGCGCGCACGCGGCGGCCGTAACCCAGCCTGAACGTTTTTCCAGCCGCCCACCTACCCCCGTCCCGTCTCCGCCGCTCTCGCTCCCCCCAAACCTTCGCCGGGATCCCTCCCGCTCCCTCCGCCTCCCCTCCCCCGCTGCTCTCCGCGCAGGCACTCTCCGCGGCCACCCCAACCTCCTGAGGGCCCCCCTTCCCTCTCCCCGCGCGCCGCCTCTCCTTATTGGCCGCCGCGCGCCGCGCACCCGCTCCTATTGGCGGAGCCTCGTCCCCCCGCCCCTTTTGGTGGGCGTGCCCTCCGGGGACCCCGCCTCTCGGCTATATAAAGCGCGGCGGGCCGGCGCGGCGCTGCCATCGCGGGCGGGACGCGGCGGGAGCGGAGCGTTCCCCGTTCCCCCTCCCGCTGCGGCGGCGCATGCGCGGGGGCGGCGCGGCGCAGCGCGCAGGCGCGGGCCGGGCCGCCATGGCGGCGGCGCCTGAGGCCTTCCTGGTGCCGCCGCCGCCGCCTCCTCCTCCTCCTCCTCCTGCTCCTCCCGCCGCCGCCGCACCGGAGCCTCCGCGGCCCCGCAATGGCCTCCGCACCGCGGGCGGCAGCGGGAAGCGGCGGAGCAGCTGCGGCGCCAAGCAGCCGGCGTGGAAGCGGCGGCGCCGCGCGGCCTCGGAGTGCGGCCCGGTGCTGCCGTCCGAGTTCCTGCTCGGCGGGAACATCTTCGACCCCCTGAACCTCAACAGCCTGCTGGACGAGGAGGTGAGCCGCGCCCTGAACGCCCGCACCCCGCAGTCCTCCCCGCTGCCGCAGCGCGGCCGGGACCCGGTGGAGATCCTGGTGCCGAGGGACATCACGGACCCGCTGAGCCTGAACGCGCCGGGAGACGCGCTCCGCCTCGCCTCACCGGCAAAAAGCGCCCGGCGGCGGCACCGGCACCGCGGGCAGCAGCGCAACCACGCCGCCAGCAGCACCGCCGGCACCGGCAGCGAGGAGCCGGGCCGCCCCGCCGAGCCCGCCGCCCCGCCGTGCCCCGCCGGCCGCCACCGCAAGCGCCGACGGACTTGCAGCAAATCCGACCCTCCTCGGCCCTCGGAAAAACCAAAACCCGGCGGCAAAGCCCCGCAGCGGCCGCGCCGCCAGGCGCGCAAGTTCCAGTACGGGAATTACTGCAAATATTACGGGTACCGCAACCCCGACGTGGAGGACGCGCGGCTCCGGGCGCTGCGGCCCGAGTGGTTCGCGGGGAAGGAGGTGCTGGACGTGGGCTGCAACGTGGGGCACCTCACCCTGAGCATCGCCAAGCGCTGGGCGCCCGCCAGGGTGGTGGGGCTGGACATTGACGGGCGGCTGATCCGCTCGGCGCGGCAGAACATCCGCCACTACCTCTCCGAGGGGCTGGGCGCGGACGGCGAGCCCACCGCCGGGCTCAGGAAAGGCTTCCCCGCCGCGCTCCTCGCCAGCCGCGGCCCCATCGCCGCCCCGCAGCTGCCGCCCGACGGGCCCGGCGCCGCCGATTTCCCGCACAACGTGGTGTTCGTCACGGTGAGGGGGGATTTGGGGGGGAAAAAGGGGGGTTTGGGTGGGAAAAAGGGGGTGGGAGAGGTGTTGGGGGTGTGGCAGGGGTTGGAGCGGGTTTCGGTGTGGGTTTGGGGGGTCTGGGGGGGACTGAGGGGGTTGGCGAGGGGTTTTTTGTTGGGTTTTTGTTGGGTTTTTGTTGGGTTTTAGGGGGGTCTCAGTGGCGTTAAGGGAGTGACAAGCATGTGGGGAGGCTTGGAGGGGATTTGGAAAGGTTTAAAGGGTCTGAAAGGGACATGAGAGATGATTTAGGGGGGTCTGGGTGGGTCTCAGGGGGTCGGCAAGGCCTTTAGGAGGGTTTTTGTTGGGTTTTAGGGAGGTTTGGGTGGATTTAAGGGGGTGACAGGCGTGTGGGGGGGTTTGGGGTGGGTTTTGGGGGGTCTCGGTGGGTCTGAAGGGGTCACCAGGGATGTTTCTGGGGGGTCTCAGTGGGTCTCAGGGGGTCACCAGGAAGTCAGAGCGGTGCAGGACCCCCTCCCCAATTCCAGTCTTGGGGTCTGTGTGGGGCAGCTCCCCCCAAACCCTTCAGTGGGGCTGGCTCCGAGCCCGCCAGCCCCCAAAACCCTTCAGTGGGGCTGACCCCGAGCCCCCCCAGCCCCCAAACCCCCCCCGTGGGGCTCAGCCTGTGCCCCCCACCCCCTCAGACACCCCCAAACCCTCCAAGTGGGGCTGACCCTGAGCCCCCCACCCTGTCAGACACCCCCAAACCCCTCCCATGGGGTTGACCCTGAGCCCCCCCGGCCCCCAAAACCCTTCAGTGGGGCTGACCCCGAGCCCACCCAACCCCTCAGACACCCCCAAACCCCCTCAGTGGGGCTGACCCCGAGCCCACCCAACCCCTCAGACACCCCCAAACCCCCTCAGTGGGGCTGACCCCGAGCTCCTCACCCAGTCAGAGCCCCCCCGACCCCCTCAGTGGGGCTGACCCCAAGCTCCCCATCCCCCAAACCCCCCATGGGGCTGACCCCCAGCCCCCCACCCCCTCAGACACCCCCAAACTCCCCCATGGGGTTGACCCTAACCCTCTCAGACACCCCCAGACCCCCCCAGTGGGGCTGCCCCTGAGCCCCCCACCCCCCAAACCCCCCCGTGGGGCTGCCCCCAGCCCCCTCAGACACCCCCAAACCCCCTCAGTGGGGCTCCCCACCCCCCAAACCCCCCCATGGGGCAGCCCCCCGCCCCATCCTGAGCCCCCCACCCCCCAAACCCCCTCAGTGGGGCTGACCCTGAGCCCCCCACCCCCCAAACCCCCCCATGGGGCTGCCCCCCAACCCCCAAATCCCCCCCTGGGGCTGCCCCCTGCCCCATCCTGAGCCCCCCACCCCCCAAACCCCCTCAGTGGGGCTGACCCCCAACCCCCAAACCCCCCATGGGGCAGCCCCCCGCCCCATCCTGAGCCCCCCGCCCCACAGGGGAACTACGTTCCGGAGCGGGAGGAGGCGGTGGGGGCGCAGCGCCCCGAGTTCGACGTGGTGCTGCTGCTGTCGCTGACCAAGTGGGTGCAGCTGAACTGGGGCGACGAGGGGCTGAAGCGGCTGTTCCGGAGGGCGTTCCGGCACCTGCGGCCCGGCGGGATCCTGCTGCTGGAGCCGCAGCCCTGGGAGTCCTACCGCAAGCGCAAGGGGCTCACGGTGAGATTGGGGGGATTTGGGGGGCTCTGGGGGGCTTTGGGGGGTTCTGGGGGGCTCTGGGGGGCCCCTGCTGCTGCTGGAGCCGCAGCCCTGGGAGTCCTACCGCAAGCGCAAGGGGCTCACGGTGAGATTGGGGGGGATTTGGGGGGCTTTGGGGGGTTCTGGGGGGCTTTGGGGGGCTCCACGGGGCTCCACGGGGCTCCTGCTGGTGCTGGAGCCGCAGCCCTGGGAGTCCCACCGCAAGCGCAAGGGGCTCACGGTGAGCTGGGGGGCTCTGGGGGGCCCAGAAATGCGTTTTTGGGGGGTTAAAACCCCCAGAAATGCAAATTTGGGGGGTTAAAACCCCCAGAAATGTGTTTTTGAAGGATTAAAACCCCTAGAAATGCATTTTTGGGGGCTTAAAACTCTCAGAAATGCGTTTTTGGGGCATTAAAACCCCCAGAAATGCATTTTTGGGGCATTAAAACCCCCAGAAATGTATTTTTGGGGGATTAAAACCCCCAGAAATGTGGTTTTGGGGGATTAAAACCCCCAGAAATGCATTGTTGGGGGGTTAAAACCCTCAGAAATGCATTGTTGGGGGGTTAAAACCCTCAGAAATGTATTTTTTGGGGGCTTAAAACCCCGAGAAATGCATTGTTGGAGGGTTAAAACCCCCAGAAATGCATTTTTGGGGGGTTAAAAGCCCCAAAAATGGGGTTTGGAGGGACTCTCGGCAGAGTTTGGTGACAGAAATGTGGTTTTGAGGGGTTAAAATACAAAAAAATGTGTTTTTGAGGGGTTAAAATCCACAAAAAATGTGTTTTTTGGGGGTTAAACGCTGCACCCTTGGGCTCAGCGGGGCCGGGGGGGTTCGGGGGTGGGTTTGGGGGTGTCTTTTCACATCTGAGGGGGTTCAGGGCTGGGTTTGGGGGGTCTCTTTCAGACCCGGGGGGGTTTGGGGTTGGGTTTGGGGGTCTCGTTTTAGATCCAGGGGGGGTTCAGGGTTGGGTTTGGGGGTCTCTTTCAGGTTCAGGGTTGGGTTTGGGGATCTCTTTTTGCTTTGGGGTTGGGTTTGGGCGTCTCTTTCAGACCGGGGGGGTTTGGGTTTGGGTTTGGGGGTCCCATCTGAGCCGTGCCGTGCCGTGCCGCAGGAGACGACGTTCCGGAACTACCAGCGCATCCGCCTCCGCCCGGAGCAGTTCCCCGCGTACCTGACCTCGCCCGAGGTGGGCTTCGAGCGCTGCGAGCTGCTGGGGACCCCCCAGCACAGCGCCAAAGGTACGGGGTTGGGGGTTTGGGGGGTCCCAGATTTGGGATGTTTGGGACAGCCCGAATCGGGGATATTTGGGTGTTTGGGATCCCCAAATTTGGGGCTGTTTGGGTATTTCAGATATCCCAAATTTGGGATGTTTGGGATCCCCAAATTGGGGCTATTTGAGTATTTGGGATATCCCGAATTTGGGCTGTTTGGGATATCCCAAATTGGGGATGTTTGGGTGTTTGGGGTATCCCAAATTAGGGATGTTTGGGACACTCTGAATTGGGGCTGTTCGAGTATTTGGGATATCCCAAATTGGGGCTGTTTGGGTGTTTGGGATTCCCAAATTGGGGCTATTTGGGTATTGGGATCCCCAAATTGGGGCTGTTTGGGTATTTCGGATATCCCAAATTTGGGCTGTTTGGGATCCCCCAAATTGGGGCTGTTTGAGTATTGGGATCCCCAAATTTGGGATGTTTGGGATATCCCAAATTGGGGCTGTTTGGGTATTTGGGGTATCCCAAATTTGGGATGTTTGGGATGCTCCAAATCGGGGCTGTTCGGATATTTGGGGTATCCCAAATTTGGGCTGTTTGGGTGTTTGGGATCCCCAAACTGGGGCTATTTGGGTATTTCGGGTATCCCAAATTTGGGGCTGTTTGGGTGTTTCAGATATCCCAAATTAGGGATGTTTGGGATCCCCCAAATCGGGGCTATTTGGGTATTTGGGATCCCCAGATTGGGGCTGTTTGGGTATTTGGGATATCCCAAATTTGGGATGTTTGGGATATCCCAAATCGGGGCTGTTTTGGATGTTTGAGATCCCCAAATTTGGGCTATTTGGGTATTGGGAGATCCCAAATTTGGGCTGTTTGGGGTATCCCAAATTTGGGATGTTTGGGTGTTTGGGATCCCCAAATTTGGGCTTTTTGGGACGCCCCGAATCGGGGCTGTTTGGGTATTGGGATATCCCAAATTTGGGCTGTTTGGGATCCCCAAATTGGGGCTGTTTGGGTGTTTGGGGTATCCCAAATTGAGGCTGTTTGAGTAATTCGGATATCCCAAATCGGGGCTGTTTGGGATCCCCAAATTTGGGCTGTTTGGGTATTTGGGATATCCTAAATCAAGGCTGTTTGGGATCCCCAAACTGGGGCTTTTTGGGTATTTGGGATCCCCAAATTTGGGTGTTTGGGATCCCCAAATTGGGGCTGTTTGGGATATCCCAAATTTGGGCTCTTTGGGTGTTTGGGATCCCCAAATTTGGGTGTTTGGGATCCCCAACCTGGGGCTGTTTTGGATCCCCCGAATCGGGGATATTTGGGATATCCTAAATCGGGGCTATTTTGGTATTTGGGATATCCCAAATTGGGGTGTTTGAGTATTTCGGATATCCCAAATCAGAGCTGTTTGGGATCCCCCAAATCCAGGGGGATTTTGGGTCTGGGGGTTTCCAGGGGAGGGCAGTGAATAATTTGGGGTCCCCCCCTCCCAAATCCGGGGGGATTTTGGGTCTGGGGGTTTCCAGGGGGGGCTGTGAATAATTTGGGGTCCCCCCTCCCAAATCCAGGGGGATTTTGGGTCTGGGGGTTCCAGGGGGGGCTGTGAATAATTTGGGGTCCCCCATTTGCCCCCCCAGGCTTCCAGCGGCCGATTTATCTCTTCCAGAAGGGACAAAGCGACGCCCCCTGAGCCCCCCAAACTCCCCCCGGCCCGGGGGGGCCCCGACGCTCCTGAGTTGGTTTTTTTTTTGGGGGGGGGGTCAGATTTTCGCTCCCCTCCCCCACCGGCTGCCAAACGGGGGGAGGGGCTCCGTTTGCTCCCCCCTCCCCCCCATTTTTGGGGTGTCCCTCCCCCCCCCCCGTGTTTGCTCTGTGTGGGGGGGGGCCCCGAATAAAGGAGGTGATTGGTCAGCACGGGGGGGGTCGTTTTTTGGGGAGGGGGGTCACACAGAGTCCAAAATCACAAATTTATTATTTTTGGGGTGAAAAAGGGGGATTTTGGGGAGGGGGCGCCCCCTCAGCGCCCCCCCCACTGCTGCAGCTTTCGGTACATGGTGAAGGCGGTGGGGGGGGGGCGCGGCACCGCCCGGGGGGGCGCGGGGGGCGCGGGGGGGGGGGGCCACGGCCACCCCACGGCGCGGGCGGGGGTCCCGGGGGTCCCGGGGGTCCCGGACAGCGCGGCCAGCGACGGGCCCGGGCCCTGGGGGGGCACCGAGAGGTGGGCGGGGGGCTGGGGAGGGGTCTCACCTGGGGGGGCACCGAGAGGGTGGGCGGGGGGCTGGGGAGGGGGCTCGGGGGGGATTTGGGGGGGGTCTCACCTGTGGGGGGGTCTCAGGTGGGATTTGGGGAGGGGGTCTCGGGGGGGATTTGGGGTGGGGTCTCACCTGGGGGGGCACCGAGAGGGTGGGCGGGGGTCTGGGGAGGGGGCTCAGGGTGGGATTTTGGGGGGGTCTCGGGGTGGGATTTAGGGAGAGGTCTCGGGTGGAAGTGGGATTTGGGGAGGGGGTCTCGGGGGGGATTTGGGGTGGGGGTCTCAGGGTGGGATGTGGGGGAGGGTCTCGGGTGGGATTTGGGGGGGGTCTCACCTGCGGGGGTGGTCTCGGGTGGGATTTGGGATTTGGGGGGGTCTCAGGGGGGATTTGGGGAGGGGTCTCACCTGGGAGGGGCTCTGAGTGGGATTTGGGGAGGGGTCACGGGGGGTATTTGGGGGGGGTCTCACCTGGGGGGGGTCTCGGGTGGGATTTGGGGGGGGTCTCGGGGTGGGATTTAGGGAGGGGTCTCACCTGCGGGGGGGGTATCGGGTGGGATTGGGGGGGTCTCGGGTGGGATTTGGGGAGGGGGTCTCGTGTGGGATTTGGGGTTTGGGGAGGGGTCTCGGGTGGGATTTGGGCTGGAGGTCTCAGGGTGGGATTTGGGGAGGGGTCTCACCTGGGCAGGGGTTTTAAGGTGGGATATGGGGGGGGGTCTCAGGGTGGGTTTTACCTGGGGGGTCTCAGGCGGGATTTGGGGAGGGGTCTCACCTGCGGGGGGGGGCTCAGAGTGGAATTTGGGGAGTGGTCTCGGATTTGGGGGGGTCTCGGGTGGGATTTGGGGAGGGGTCTCACCTGCGGGGGGGGGCTCACGGCGCCCCCCCTGCGCGGCCCCGGTTGGGGGGGGGGCACAGCGAGACTGACGAGGCCGCGGAAGAGGCGGCGGGCGGGCGGCACGTTCATGGCTGAAACCGGGAGAATTCCGGTTATACCGGGAGATTCCGGTTATACCGGGGGGTTCCGGTGACACCGGGGGGATTCCGGTCACACCGGGGGGATTCCGGTCACACCGGGGGGTTCCGGTCACACCGGGAGGGGGTGCTGGGGGTCCCGGGCCGCCCCCTCCCCGCACTGACCCGCGGCCGCCGCCCCGCCCAGCGCCGAGCGGGCGGCGAAGGAGCACCGGAGCAGCGCTGCCGCCGCCCGGGGGGCGTCGAACGGTTCGGGGGGCGCCGCACCGGGAGCCCCGCGGCCGCTGCTGTGCACGGTGGGGGTCGCCAGGGCGGGGGGCGCCGCTGCGCCTTCATCCTCCTCCTCCTCCTCCTCCTCGTCCTGGACGGCGAAACGCACCTGGAACGGGGAGGGAGGGGGAAACCGCGTTCCGGTAACGGGGGGAGGGTCTCACCGCCCCGCCGGTGTCCCCCCAACGCGTCCCGGTGCCGGTTTTGGGGTGTCCAGGTCCCTCCCCGCGCTCCCTCCCGCCGGTTCCGGGCTGTCCCCGGTGTCCCGGGGCTGTCCCCGGTTCCCCGCCGCTGTCCCGTTCCCCCCTCCCCACACCTGCCGGTTGCCCCCCCCGCGCCCCCCCCGCCTCAGGATCCCCCCGGGCGGCGGCGGCGGCGGCGGCGGGAGCGCGCGCGGCCTCATGGCGGCGGCGGCGGCCACGCCCCCTTCCCGCCGGTGGCCACGCCCCCTTACCGGAGACCTCCCCAAGATGGCGCCGCCCTGACCTCCCCAAGATGGCGGCCGCGCCCCGGAGGCCGCGGGTTCGAGTCCCGCCGTGGCCAACGGTTTTTAACCCCCGATTCGTTCGGTTTTCCCCCCAAAACGAGCACGGCCGCGGCCTCGTGCTGTAAAAACCGCGGGTTTATTAAAAAGCGCCCGGAATGGCGCAGGAAGGGCCGGGGAGATCGGCGGCGCTCCCCCAGCGCGGGCGGCAGCAGCAGCGGGTGCGGAGCCCCCGGGACGCTCCCGGGAGTCCCCCGGGCTCAGGGCGGCCCCGGTGGCGGCCCCGGGGGCGGCAGGGCCGGCAGGCGGGACAGCTGCTGCGGCGTGGCCAGCGCCCGGAGCAGCCGGTTCTCCCGCTCCAGCGCCGCGCGCCGCTCGCTCAGCTCCCGGATCTGCTCCCGCAGCGCCTCCACCTCCTCCCGCACCGCCAGCAGCAGGTGCGACTTCACCAGGTCCTGCGGGATGGTGGTGACCGTCACCGAGAGCCCCCGGGGCGGCCCCGGGACCCCCGGGCTCTGTGCCAGGACCCCCGGGCTCCTTCCTGCAACCCCTGGGCTCCTTCCCGGGACCCCCGGGCTCTGTCCTGGGACCCCCAATCTCCTTCCCGGGACCCCCGATCTCCTCCCAGGACCCCCGGGCTCCTTCCCGGGACCCCCGGGCTCCTTCCCGGGACCCCCAAACTCCTTCCCGGGACCCCCGGGCTCATTGCCGGGACCCCAGAGTCACCTTCAGGGACCCCCGGGCTCCTTCCCGGGACCCCCGGGCTCATTGCCGGGACCCCCGGGCTCCTTCCCGGGACCCCCGGGCTCATTGCCGGGATCCCCGGGCTCCTTGCCGGGACCCCCGGGCTCCTTCCCGGGACCCCCGGAGTCACCTTCAGGGACCCCCGAGCTCCTTCCCGGGACCCCCGGGCTTCTTCCTGGGGCCCCCGGGCTCCTTCCCGGGACCCCCGAGCTCCTTGCCGGGACCCCCGGGCTCCTTCCCGGGACCTCAGAGTCTCCTTCAGGGACCCCCGAGCCCCCCAAGCTCCTTCCCAGGACCCCCAATCTCCTCCCAGGACCCCCGAGCTCCCTCCCAGGACCCCCAAGCTCCCTCCTGAGCCCCCCAGTCTCCCTCCCAGGACCCCCCAAGCTTCTCTCAGGATCCCCAATCTCCCTTTTGAGCCCCCCAATCTCCCTCCTGAGCCCCCCAGTCTCCCTCCCAGGACCCCCGAGCTCCCTCCTGAGCCCCCCAATCTCCCTCCCAGGACCCCCAATCTCCCCCCAGGACCCCCAATCTCCCTCCCAGGACCCCCAGTCTCCCCCCAGGACCCCCAATCTCCCTCCTGAGCCCCCCACGCCCCCCGCCATCACCCCCCCATCTCACCATGGCTCTCTCGATCTTGTTGTCGATGGCGCTGACGCCGCTCCCGGCGCTGGGGACAAGGCCGGGGGGGGTCAGACGGACAGACGGACGGACATGGCCCCTCCCCCACCCACTCACTCACCCCCCAGCCCCATTTCCTTCCCCCCATCCCCATTTGTTTCCTCCCCTTTTTCGTTTTTTTAATATTTTTAAGTTTTTTGGGGGGGTGGGAGGGGCAGCCCCGCCCCCCTCCCTCACACCTGCCCGGCCCCGCCCCCCCAAAACCGGAAGTCCCGCCTCACCCTTCCTCCTCTTCCTCCTCGCCAGCCAATCCCAGGCGCGCGCTGAGCTCGGCCCCGCCCCCTGGGCGTGGCGAGGGGGGTTTTGGGGGCAAAGCCTGAAAAAAACCCAAAAATTGGGTTGGGAGGGGGCGTGGTCACCTCGGCCACGCCCCTCGGTAAACCCCGCCCCCTCTCACCTGCTGCACGAGCTCGGCGAAGGCCCCGAGGGACCGGGGCTGGTGGGCGGCGGGGGCGGCCCGGGGGGCGTCCAGCGACACCGGGACCCTCCCGCCGCCGCCGCCGCCGCCGCCGCCGCCGCCGCCGCCCCGCGGGGACGCGTCCCGCTCGTAGAAATCGCGGCACAGCCACCGGCCCCGCCGCAGCACCTCCCCCGGCCACAGCAAGCGAACGAGGCGGAACCGGGAGCCGCTGCCGGGGCTGCCGGTGGAGGAAGAGGAAGAACCGGTGGCGGCACCGGAGGCATCGCCGGGCGCGGTGCCGCCGCCGCGGACGCTGGTGATGGCGAAGCCGCTTTTCTTGCGGCTCATGGGGGCGGCGGCGGCGGGAGGAGGAGGAGGAGGAGGAACATGGCGGGGCCGGCCCGGAGCCGTTACCGGCGGCGGCGGCGGCGGTGGCGGCGGCAGGACCCGGAAGTGCGAACCGGAAGTGATGTTGCGCTTTAAGGGCGTTGCCGCGCCACGCCCCAAGCCACGCCCCATAGTGGGAAGCCACGCCCACTCGCGGGAAGCCACGCCCTCTCCCCACGTGACCGGGGGCGCGGGCGGTCCTCCCCGCCGCCAGGCGGCGCTGTGGCGGGCGCGGCGCGTCCCGGACGCTGCGTCAGCGGCGGCGGAGCGGCGCGAGCGGGAGGCGGGAGCGGCCGGTGAGGGAGGAGGAGGAGGAGGAGGAGGAGGGGAGCGATGGGGGCGGCCCCGCGGCCCCTCCCGCGCCCGGTGACCACCCGCTGCCCCTCCCCCGCAGGCCGCTAGACCCCCCCCGCCATGGGCCAACGCCCCCCGTGAGCCCCCGGCCCGGGCGCGGCCGTGCTGGCGGCGGTGGGGGGGGGGGGCGGCGCAGGATTCCCCCCCCCCCCAACCGTGGGACCCCCGAGAGAGCGACAGGTAATGGGGGGCGGGGAGGCCGAGAGCCCCGGTGGGTGACCGAGCGATCCCCGGTGTCCCGGCGGGGCGGGGGGCGAACGGGGGACCCCGGGGTTGGGGGTGGTTTGGGTGGGCCGGGGGGGTCCCGGTGGGCCGGGAGGGTCTGGGGGCATCACCGGGGGTGGGGAGGACCCCGGGAGCCCCGGAGGTGAACGGGAGGGCAGAGGGACGCCGGCTCCCGGTGGGGAGGGGGCTCCTGAGGGGACCGGGGGGTTTGGGGGGTCGGCGGCGGGAGCCCAGGTGGGGTTGGGGGTCGCGGTAGCCGCGGGCATGGGGCGGCCCGGTGGGGCTCTGCGGCCACGGGGACCGGGAGGGTCTGGGGACCCGAATTGGGGGTCCGGGAGGGTCTCCGGACCCGAATTGGGGGTCCCCAGGGGGGGTTGGTCTGCTGTCAGGGGGTCCGGGAGGGTCTCTGGACTGAAATTGGGGGTCCGGGGGTCCCCGGGGCGGGGGGGGTCTGAGGCCACGGGGTCCGGGAGGGGTCTCGGGACCCGAATTGGGGGTCCGGGAGGGTCTCGAGAGCCGAGTCGGGGGTCCCGGTGGGTCCCGGTAGCCGGCTCGGGGGTCCCGGTGGGTGTCGGGACCCGGCTCGGGGGTCCCGGTGGGTGTCGGGACCCGAATCGGGGGTCCCGGTGGGTGTCGGGAGCCGAATTGGGGGTCCGGGAGGGTCTCGGGACCCGAATTGGGGGTGCGGGGGTCCCCGGGGCGGGGGGGTCTGCGGCCACGGGGTCCGGGAGGGTCTCGGGACCCGAATTGGGGGTCCGGGAGGGTCTCGGGAGCCGGATCGGGGGTCCCGGTGGGTGTCGGGACCCGGCTCGGGTGTCCCGGTGGGTCGGGGGTCCCGGTGGGTCGGGGGTCCCGGTGGGTCCGGGGTCCGGGGCGGGAGTCCCGGTGGGTCCGGGGTCCCGGTGGGTCCGGGGTCCGGGGCGGGGGTCCCGGCTCGGAGGTCCCGGGTCGGGGGTCCCGGTGGGTCGGGGGTCCCGGTGGGTGTCGGGACCCGACTCGGGGGTCCCGGTGGGTCCGGGGCGGGGGTCCCGGTGGGTGTCGGGAGCCGGCTCGGGGTTCCCGGTGGGTGTCGGTACCCGGCTCGGGGGTCCCGGTGGGTCCGGGGTCCCGGGGCGGGGGTCCCGGTGGGTCCGAGGGGATTTCGGTAGCCGGATCAGGGGTCCCGGTGGGTCCGGGGTCCCGGTGGGTCGGGGGTCCCGGGGCGGGAGTCCCGGTGGGTCCCGGTGGGTCCGGGGTCCCGGTGGGTCGGGGGTCCCGGTGGGTCGGGGGTCCCGGTGGGTCCCGGTGGGTCGGGGATCCCGGTGGGTCCGGGGTCCCGGTGGCTCGGGGGTCCCGGTGGGTCCGGGGTCCCGGTGGCTCGGGGGTCCCGGTGGGTCCCGGTGGGTCGGGGGTCCCGGTGGGTCCGGGGTCCCGGGGCGGGGGTCCCGGGGCGGGGGTCCCGGTGGGTCGGGGGTCCCGGGGCGGGGGTCCCGGTGGGTCCGGGGTCCCGGGGCGGGGGTCCCGGTGGGTGCGGGGTCCCGGGGCGGGGGTCCCGGTGGGTCCCGGTGGGTCCCGGTGGGTCCCGGTGGGTCGGGGGTCCCGGGGCGGGGGTCCCGGTGGGTCGGGGGTCCCGGGGCGGGGGTCCCGGTGGGTCCGGGGTCCCGGGGCGGGGGTCCCGGTGGGTGCGGGGTCCCGGGGCGGGGGTCCCGGTGGGTCCCGGTGGGTCCCGGGCCGGGTCTGACGCGCCGCCCCCAGCCATGAGCGCCCCCCCGCGGTCGGAGCTCGCCGCCGCCGCCGCCGCCCTGCTCCGCCTGGGCGAGGAGCGCCCCCCGGCGGCCGCCATGAGCCTCCTGCAGCGCAAGGGACGGCCCGAGTGGCGCCCCCGCGAGGAGGAGCCGCGCAAGGGGTGAGCGGGACACCGGGGCCACCGGGGGGGCACCGGGGGGACACCGGGGACACCGGGGACACCGGGGGGGCACTGGGGGGGCACCGGGGGGACACCGGGGACACAGGGGGGACACCGGGGGGATACGGGGGGGATACCGGGGACACCGGGGGGATACCGGGGGGGATACTGGGGACATCCCGGGGGGGACACTGGTGGGATACCGGGGGGGACATTGGGATATACCGGGGGGGACACCGGGGACACCGGGGGGGCACTGGGGGGGCACCGGGGGGACACCGGGGACACGGGGGGGACACCGGGGGGACACCTGGGGGATACCGGGGGGGCACCGGGGGGATACCGGGGATACCGGGGGGACATCCCGGGGACACCGGGGGAATACCGGGGACACTGGGGGGGATACCGGGGGTCACACCGGGGGGATACCAGGGGGATACCGGGGACACCGGGGGGACACCAGGGACAGCCTGGGGGGGACACCTGGGGCATCCCGGGGGACACACCAGGGACACTCCTGGAGGGACATCGGGTACATCCCGGGGGGGATACTGGGGACATTCCGGGGGGGGACACCGGGGACACTCCTTGGGGGTACGCCGGGGACATCCCAGGTGGGACACTGGGATACCCTGGGACCAACAGAGAGGGACACAGAAACCCCCTCCGAGTCCGCCCAGGCGTGACACCAATCCCGCCGGGGTTACCCTCAGGGGACACCGGGAGCCCCAGGACCACCCTGAGAGGTCCCCCAGCCCAAACCCACCCTCGCCCCCTCCCAGACCCCGCAGTGCCCCTCTGCCCTCCCGGCGTTCACCCCAAGATCCGTGGCTCATGTTCTGCACCGCAGAACCCCCAAAACCGTGGGGCTCCACCTCCCCACTGTGCCTCAGTGCCCCTTCACCACAGGAGCACGTTCCCCGAGGATCTGTGCGGCGGTCAGGGCGTCCCCTGGGATTTGGGGTGCCCTGACCCGCTGTGTCCCCTCTCCAGGGTGCCCAAGGCGCGGGAGGGGGGGTCCCTGCGGCGCCCGCTGCGGGTGGGCTTCCTGACGCTGCCGGCGCCGCAGGAGCGCGGCCCCCGGCCCTGCGCCCCCGGCATGGCCCCCCGCTCGCTGTCCTGCCACGCCGTGGGGCTGCCCGAGCCGGGGGTGCCCCTGCGCCCCCCGGGACCCCGCTCAGGACCCCCCGAGGGCCGCGGCCTGGAGGCGCCGCCCGCCAAGAGAGGTGGTGAGTGCAACCGGCGGGGCTGGGGGCAGTTCGGGGGGCTCGGGGAGGGGACAGTGGGTCCGGGGGAGCGGGAAGGGGTGGCAGGGAGGGGTCACAAGGAATCTGAGGGGGCACAGAGCGTGTGTGGCACCCCCTGACGCCCTTCCCTCCCCCAGGCACGCCCCGAGGGGGCTGCGTGCGGCAGACGCCCCCCCTGAAGCCCTCGCGCAGCCCCCAGACCCGGCTGTCCTCCGGGGCACCTCCACCGGCCCTGGCCGAGCAGGGCGAGGCAGAGGAGCCGGTGTACATCGAGATGGTGGGGGACGCCCGGGGGGTCCCGGGGGGCGATCCCCGGCGCGGGGGCCCGGCGGGGGCGCCCCCCGCGCCCACCGAGGAGCCCGAGGCCATCTACGAGGAGATGAGCTGCCCCCTGCCCGCGGGGGAGGGGCCGGGACACGCCCCTTTCCACGGACACGCCCCTTTCCACGGACACGCCCCTTTCCACGGACACGCCCCCTCCCACGGACACGCCCCCTCCCACGGACACGCCCCTTTCCATGGACACGCCCCTTTGGGCGGCCCCGCGCCGCACTCCGGCCACGCCCCTTTCTCCGGCCACGCCCCTCACGCGGGCCGCGCCCCCTTCATTGGCCACGCCCCCTTCTCCGGCCCCGCCCCCATCCCGCCGCCCTTCCCCAACCTGCTGCCGCCCCGCCCCCCGCCGCTGGCCCCGCCCCCCGAGGCCGCCTCGCGCCTGCCCCTCCCCTCGCGCCGCGAGGCCCCGCCCCCCGCGCGCGCGCGCAGCCATTCCACGCCCCTCCCCCCGCACCACGCGCCGGGGGGGGCGGGGGGGCGCGAGCGCGGCGGGGGGGCGGGGCTGGGGCCGCTGCCCCTCCCCCCGCCCGCCGAAGCCCCGCCCCCCGGGAAGCGCCCGCCCGCCTACGAGAGCGTGCGCGGGGGCGTGGCCGCGGCAGGCCCCGCCCTCGGCCGCGAGGAGGACACGCCCCTTCGGCGCGGAGGGGGCGGAGCCTCCGCCCGGCGCGGGAAGGAGACCGAGAGTGAGTGACAGGCGGGGGGCGGGGCTTTGGGGGCCACGCCCACTGGGCGGGGCTTACATACACCCCCCCTCCCGGTTTTTATAGAGGCACCGGAGCCCCCCCGGGAGGAGCGGGCGGCGGCGGCCCCGCCCCCCTCGGGCATCCCGGTCCGGGCCGAGGGGCCCCGGGGGCGGCCCGGGCCCGCCCTGCCCTGCCAGACCTTCCCGGCCTGCGGGAGGGCCTCCGGTACGTGCGGGGCACCGGGGGCACCGGCGGGGGAAACGGGGGGAGGAGGTGACATTGGGACACCGGGGGGGCACAGGGATGGAGGTGACATAAGGACACCGGAGAGGGACAACGGGGGACACGGGGGGACACGGGGGGCGGAGGTGACATTAGGACACCGGGGGGGCACAGGGATGGAGGTGACATAAGGACACCGGAGGGGGGGACACGGGGGGGACACGGTGGCGGGAGGTGACATAAGTACACCGGGGGGGACACGGGGGGCACAGGGATGAAGATGACATTAGGACACCAGAGGGGGGGGACACGGGGGCACACGGGGACAATCCGCGCCCCCCTGACGCCCCCCCCCACCCTCGCAGAGCTGCCCGGGGGTCCCCGCCTGGGCCGCTCGGCCTCCACCTCGGGGGTGCGGCAGGCCGGGGCCCCCCCGTTCCCACGCGGCCCCCCCACATCGCGGCCCCTCTCCGGTGGGGTCCCCGGGGGGGGCTTCCCCGCCGCCGCCGCCGCCCCCCGGGCCCGGGACGGGCAGCTGCAGGAGGTGATCGACCGCAAGCGCTGCGTGTGCACCGAGATCAAGGCGCGGGGGGGGCGGGGGGGGGGGCTGTGCAAGCAGGACAGCCTGCCCCCCCTGCCCGCCCCCCCCGCCTGGAAAGGGGGCGCCGCTCCCGAAGGACGCCCCCCGCCCCCGCCGCCCCCCGGCACCCCCCCGGCCCGCCGGCCGCACGCCGTGCTCTGGGACACCGCCATCTGACCCCCCCACCCCGGGGTGCCTGGAGCACCCCAAATCTGCCCCCGAGCCTGGGGGGGGTCCCCGAGATCGTGGGGTGGGGGGGGGCTCCTGAGGATAAAGGGGGGGGGTCCTGAAGTGGGGAGGGGGGGTGACACGGCTGGGCCGGGTTGGGGAGAAATGGGGCTGGGGGGTATTTATGGTGTGCTGAGCCCCCCCCGCGTAAATATCGGGGGGCACACAAAGGGGGGAGGATGGAGACCACCCCCCCCTCCCGCGGTAACAGGGAGGGACCCCAAAAAACGGGGGGGGGCGCAAAAAAAAACCCCATAAAATGGGGCGAGTTCCAGCCCCTCATTACGGGGGATTAATTAAACCCCCCCCCCAACTAAGAGGGTGTCGAGCCTCAATATCGGGGCGCAGCCCCCCCCCCCCCGCGAACTGAGGGGGTCCCTGCAATGGGGGTTCACCCCGTCAAAGGGGGGGTTCACCCCTGCAAAGGGGGGGTTCACCCCCGCCCGGGGGGGCCCAGCCCCCCGAAAGGGGAGGGTGCTGTAACTGCTTTGCAATGTATTTATTGGGGGGGGGGTATTTATGGGGGTGCATCAAGCAGGGGTTGGGGAGGGGGCTCCGATCCGGGGGTCCGCAGTGCGGCCTGTGGGGGGGTGGGTGGGTGTGTGGTGCTGGAGGGTGGGGGGGTGTGAGAGGGGAGGGGGGGTCTCCTCTGGGATTTTTGGGTGGGGGACTATGGTGGGGAGGGGGGCAAAGGGCCCCCCTAACCCTTTCCTGGGACCCCCCCCAGGCCCTCTGTGCCTCAACTTCCCCCCCCTGCCCCCCCAACCCGTTACCAGAATTGCCTTCGTCCCCGCGGGGTCCGGGGGGGCCCCAGTTTGGGGAGGGGGTGGTGGGGACGGGGGGGTTTTGTAACGTGGTTCTGTGCACTATTAAAGAGAGATGCAGCTGGAAGCGCTTGTCTGGGGCGACAGCGCCCCAAAAATGGGGCTGGGACCCTCCCAAAAATGGGGCTGGAATCCCCTGAAAAATGGGGCTGGGACCCTCCCAAAAATGGGGTTGGGACCCTCCCAAAAATGGGGCTGGGACCCTCCCAAAAAGGGCTGAAATCCCCTGAAAAATGGGACTGGGACCCTCCCAAAAATGGGGCTGGAATCCCCTGAAAAATGGGGCTGGGACCCTCCCAAAAATGGGGCTGGGACCCTCCCAAAAAGGGCTGAAATCCCCTGAAAAATGGGGCTGGGACCCTCCCAAAAATGGGGCTGGAATCCCCTGAAAAATGGGGCTGGGACCCTCCCAAAAATGGGGCTGGGACCCTCCCAAAAAGGGGGCTGGAATCCCCTGAAAAATGGGGCTGGGACCCTCCCAAAAATGGGGCTGGAATCCCCTGAAAAATGGGGCTGGGACCCTCCCAAAAATGGGGCTGGGACCCTCCTAAAAATGGGGTTGGGACCCTCCCCAAAATTGGGCTGGAATCCCCTGAAAAATGGGGCTGGGACCCTCCCAAAAAGGGGGCTGGAATCCCCTGAAAAATGGGGCTGGGACCCTCCCAAAAATGGGGCTGGGACCCTCCCAAAAATGGGGCCGGGACCCTCCCAAAAATGGGGCTGGGACCCTCCCAAAAAATGGGGCTAAAATCCCCTGAAAAATGGGGCTGGGACCCTCCCAAAAATGGGGCTAGGACCCTCCCAAAAACGGGGCTGGGACCCTCCCAAAAATGGGGCTAGGACCCTCCCAAAAATGGGGCTGGGACCCTCCAAAAAACGGGGCTGGGACCCTCCCAAAAATGGGGCTGGGGCCCTCCCAAAAATGGGGCTGGAATCCCCTGAAAAATGGGGCTGGGACCCTCCCAAAAAGGGCTGAAATCCCCTAAAAAATGGGGCTGGGACCCTCCCAAAAATGGGGCTGGAATCCCCTCAAAAATGGGGCTGGGACCCTCCCAAAAATGGGGCTAAAATCCCCTGAAAAATGGGGCTGGGACCCTCCAAAAAATGGGAAATTTGGGCCAAGATCCCCCCCCCCCCCAGCCCCTCAGAACACGCTAATTGGGGATTTCGATGGAAAATTAATTAACGGGGGCACCGGGGAATTAACGGGGACGGGAATTAATTAACGGGGGCACCGGGGGGGGACGCCCCCAGCCCCCCCCGCGGGGCCCGGGCCGGGCTCGGCTCCTCCCGCACCTGCTGGGGAAGGGCGGAATTAGCGGGGGGGATTTGGGGGTGCGGGGCGAGGGGGGCAGCGCAGCAGAGCTGGAGCGGGGGCGTCCCCTTTTTGGGCAGAGAAAGGGCGAAAACGGACAAAAAACGGACAAAAAGCTGAGCAGTGGCAGCAGGAGAGGGGCAGGACTGAACCCCACCCTGCCACCCCCCCCCAGGTTTTGGTCTCAGCCGGTGGCCTGAGTGTCACTAAGGGACAGGGATGTACCAAGAGTAATTTTGGGGGGATTTCCATACTTGGAGAAAAAAAAAAATCATTATTTTACAGTAATTAGAGTGACAACCGCATAATAGTTAAATATAATAATTTTAATAATAATTAATTACAATAAATTTTGGTCATCTGCATTTTTAGCTCCTGCTGTCATAATTAAGTTACAATTAACTGCAATAATTAACTTAATGCGCTCACAGTCCTGTATAACAACTCAATAATAGTGAGAACTCATAATAATAATAAATCTCATAATAATAGCTCATCATAATTAATTATAATAATATGAATAATTATGGTCACACACCCCCGGGGGGGGTTCAGCCCCTCCCCATTCCCTGCCTCAGTTTCCCCAGCGTTAAGGCACAAGAAAAGAAGGGAGGGGGGAAGGAAAGGTGCAAAGGCGGGACCCCCCCTCACCGGGGTTTGGGGGGTCCCCCGGGGGTCTCCCCGGGGTTTTGGGGGTCCCTCAGCAGCCAAAGAGCGCGCGGTGGGCGGCGACGAGCAGCGCCATGAGGAGCCCGTAGAAAAGGGCGAAGAGCAGCCCGGGGGGGGGGCGCCGGGGGTGGGGGGGCTTCACCTGGGGGGGGGGACAGGGGGGACCCCGCGTCAGCCGTGGGAGAGCGTGGGGACCCCCCAAAATCAACCCCCTTCCCCCAGAACCGTACCTCGGGGACCCCCGAGCGGTGTCGGGGCGGCGATGGCGGCGTCCGGCGGGCGCTGGGGGGGCTCTGGGGGGGGAAAATGGGGGGTTCAGGGGAGTTTGGGGGTGTTTGTTTGGGTTATGTGGGTGCCAGGGGCTAAAAAAGGGGATTTTGGGGTGTTTATTTGGGTTATGGGGGTGTCAGGGGCTAAAAAAGGGGATTTTGGGGTGTTTGTTGGGGTTACATCAGTGTCAGGGGCTAAAAAAGGGGTTTTGGGGTGTTTATTTGGGTTATGTGGGGTATCAGGGGCTAAAAAAGGGGTTTTGGGGGTGTTTTGGGGTTCAGGGGTGTTTTTGGGGCTCAGGAGGTTTTTGGGGGATGTTTTTAGGGTTGTTTTGGGGCTCAGGGCTGTTTTTGGGGCTGTTTTGGGGTCCCAGGGGCTGTTTTGTGGTCCTGGAGGCAGTTTTGGGGTCCCAGGGGCTGTTTTGGGGTCCCAGGGGCCGTTTTTGGTTTCCCAGGGGCTGTTTTGGGGTCCCAGGGGCAGTTTTGGGGTCCCGGGGGCCGTTTTTGGGGTCCCAGGGGCTGTTTTGGGGTCCCGGGGGCTGTTTTTGGGGTCCCGGGGGCTGTTTTGTGGCCCCGGGGGCCGTTTTTGGGGTCCTGGGCTGTTTTGGGGTCCCGGGGGCAGTTTTGGAGTCCCGGGGGCCGTTTTTGGGGCCGTTTTTGGGGTCCCGGGGCCGTTTTTGGGGTCCCAGGGGCAGTTTTGGGGTCCCGGGGGCCGTTTTTGGGGTCCCAGGGGCAGTTTTGCGGTCCCAGGGGCCGTTTTTGGGGTCCCGGGGGCCGTTTTTGGGGCCGTTTTTGGGGCCGCTCTCACCGCCCAGGGCCGCAGCCGCGCCGCCACCCGTCGCAGCAGCTCCGAGTCCCCGAAATCCTCCGGGAGCCGCAGCTGCAGCAGCGCCTCGAGGCTCTGCGGGGTCGGGGGGCACAGCGGGGACCCCCCAGAACGGGTCAGGGGGGGAACAGACCCCAAAACCCCCCAAAATCCACAGGGAGGGGACAGGACGGGCGTTACCTGGCGCACCTCAGCGATCAGCTGGTCCGGGTCCGGGGGGGCTGCGGGGAGATTTGGGGGGTCAGGGGAGATTTGGGGGGCATAGGGGAGATTTGGGGGGCACTGGGGGGGTCACAGGGGAGATTTGGGGGGCACAGGGGAGATTTGGGGGGCATAGGGGAGATTTGGGGAGCACAGGGGGGTCACAGGGGATATTTGGGGGGCACAGGGGAGATTTGGGGGGCACTGGTGGGGTCACAGGGGAGATTTGGGGGACATGGGGGGGCTGTGCCCTACCTGGCTTGGAGGAGGAAGAGGAGCAGGGGGTGAGGCAGGCTCTGGGTTCTGGGGGGCTGCAGGGGGGGCCGGGGGCTCCGTCGGGGTCCTGGGGGAGGCAGGACAATTAAAAGTGCTGTTAATGAGGGCTGAGCCGGGGGCAAAGGGTAACCGGAGCGGCGTTAATTAGCGCTGAGCCTAACGAGGTCTCACCAGCAGCAGCGGCGTCGAGGTCTGGGGGCGTCTCTGGGGAGGGGTCCTGGGGGGGGTGAGAGCAGCCAGGGCCCGACCCTGGTCCCAGCGCCCCAAAATCCACCCCCAGCGCCCCAAATCCACCCCCAATGTCCCAAATCCACCCCCCCCCAGCACCCCAAATCCACCCCCAATGCCCCAAATCCACCCCCAGTGCCCCAAATCCACCCCCAGCGCCCCAAATCCACCCCCAGCGCCCCAAATCCACCCCCAGCGCCCCAAATCCACCCCCAACACCCCAAATCCACCCCCAGCGCCCCAAATCCACCCCCAATGCCCCAAATCCACCCCCAATGCCCCAAATCCACCCCCAATGCCCCAAATCCACCCCCCACGCCCCAAATCCACCCCCAGCACCCCAAATCCACCCCAATGGCCCAAATCCACCCACCCCCAGCACCCCAAATCCACCCCAATGGCCCAAATCCACCCCCAGCGCCCCAAATCCACCCTCAGCGCCCCAAATCCACCCCCAATCCCCGTCCCAGTCTGCCCCACCAATCCCCATCCCCGATTTCCAGCCCCAAACCCATCACCCCTGTCCCATTTCCCATCCCCAACTCCCAGTCCCAGTTTCCCATCCCAATTTCCAATCCCCAGTTCCCAATCCCCAGTCCCAGTTTCCCAGTCCCAGTTTCCCATCCCCAGTCCCCAATCCCCATTTCCCAGCCCCCTCCCCAATTCCCAGCCCCAAACCCCAGTTCCCATTTCCCATCCCCAATCCCCATTTCCCAGCCCCCATCCCCAATCCCCAGTTCCCATTTCCCAGTCCCAGTTTCCCAGTCCCAACTCCCAGTCCCCAATCCCCATTTCCCAGCCCCCATCCCCAATTCCCAATTCCCAGTTCCCATTTCCCAGTTTCCTGTCCCCAATCCCCAGTTCCCAGCCCCCATCCCCAATCCCCATTCCCAGCCCCCAGCCCCATTTCCCAGTTTCCCATCCCCAATCCCCATTTCCCAGCCCCCCTCCCCAATTCCCACCCCAAACCCCCGTACCTGTCCCGGCTCCTCTCCCTCTCCCTCTCCATCCACACCTCCAGGTTCTGGGGGCGTCTCCGGGGCGCAGGGACCACCCTGCAGGCACAGGGGGCTCAGACCCCCCCAGCCCCCTCCCCGAGCCCCCAGACCCCCCAGCCCCTCACCTGGTACCCTCGGGGGTGTCACCTCGCGGGCTCTGGCCCTGCTGCTGCTCCTGGGGGACAGAGGGGGGCCCAGGATTTGGGGGGGATCCCCAAAACTTGGGCATCACCTCGGGCGAGGGCTCCTCCTCCAGCTGCTCCGGGTCGCTGTCAGCAGCTGTGGGGGGACAAGGGGGGTGACGGGGGTCCCCGGAGGGTGACAGGGGGTCCCCGGAGGGTGACAGGGGGTCCCCAGGATGTGACAGGGGGTCCCCAGAGGGTGACGGGGGGTCCCCAGGATGTGACAGGGGGTCCCGGGGGGGCTTTGGGGGTCCCACTCCCCTCACCTGCCCCACCGCGTGTCTCCCTGTGCTGCCGGGACGGCTCCGAGGACTCATCTGTGGACTGCCAGAGGGGGTGTGAGGTGGGGGAGGAGGTCGGGGGACACCCCAAATCCCCCCTGCGCCCCCCAAAACGCCCCCCAAATCCCACCTCGTTTCCTGACCAGCGCTTGCTGCCGCTGTCCACGCTGTGGAAGCCGGAGTCCAGCCCCCCCCGCTGCCGGAGGGGACACAGCTCGTCCGGGGGGCTGCGGGGGGGCAGAACGGCGCTCAGAGACCCCCAAAAACCCCCAAAAACAGCGGGGTCCCCCCTCTTCCAGCCCCCCCTTTACCACGCCGGCGGATGATGGGCGGCAGCCTCGGCTTCCAGGTACTTGAAGATGTGGACTTTGCCCTTCAGGCAGATCTGGGGGGGCACAGAGGGGTCAGCAGGAGTTTTTGGAGGGTCGGGGGGATCCCCCTGGCCCCCCTCACCTGGGCGGGGGGGAACTGGAGGGGGTTGTTGTCCGCCAGCAGGACTTGGAGGTGCCGCAGCCTCCGGAAGCAGCGCGGGATGGCGACCACCCGGTTGCAGGAGAAATCCAACCGGACCAGCGGCAGTTCCGAGAGCTCTGCCGGACACGGACACGCGGGGATCCACACGGGAACCCTCCCGGAGCGGCGGGGACCCCTCCGCAGAGCCCTGACCCACCGTCGGGCAGCACCGCCAGCTCGTTCCGCCGCACGCTCAGGTCCCGCAGCGCCCGCAGCTGCCCCAGCCCCGGCGGCAGCGCCCGCAGCCGGTTACCGCCGACGTCCTGCGGGGCGACACGGGCTCAGCGGGGCTCGGGGGGTTTAGGGGGGCTCGGGGGGCCCGGGCACGGCTCTCACCAGCTGGCGGAGGGTCCGCAGGGTGCCCAGGTTGGGCGGCAGCCGCGCCAGGCGGTTGTTGCTGGCGTTGAGGACGCGCAGCGGCAGCAGGCACAGGCAGGCGGGCAGCGAGCTCAGCTGGTTGCGGCTGCCCGGGGGACACGGAGCGGTCAGCGGCGCTGCCGGACATCCCCCGGGTCGGTCCGGAGGGGATGGGGCGTACCTGAGGTCCAGGTGAGCCAGGGAGTGCAGGTTGGCGATGGCCGGGGGGACGCTGCGCAGGCAGTTGTGGTGCAGGCTCAGCGCCTCCAGCGAGACCAGGCGGCAGGCGGCCTCCGGCACCTCAGCGAAGCGGTTCCGGGACAGGTCTGCAGGGACGGGGGCGAGCGGGGAACGTGTGGGACATTCTCGGCGGGACAAGAGATCTCCGGGGATAGGGAACCACAGGGTCAAGGCAGCCGCAGGGAAGGGGCTAAAGGGCACAGCACCCCCGGGATAAGGACGCGGATCGCCGGGGACGGGGCAGCGGATGGAGCCCGAGCCGCCCGGCCGAACGCTGAACCCGCCGGACCGCCCGGACCAGGCGCCCCGGCTCGGCCCGTCCCGGCGCCCCCGGCACCGCCCGCGGGGCTCGGGAGGCACCGAGCGAGGCGGGGCAGCCTCCCCTGGGCGGGGGGAACACCCCGAGCCGCCCCGGGCTGTGGGAAGGGTCGGGGATTCCCCCCCGGGGCCGCGGCCTCACCGGCCTGTGTGGTGTCGCTGAGGTCCCAGCGCCGCGCCGCCGCCGCCGGGAAGGCGCGGAGCCGCCGGCCGGCCAGACTGAGCGTGCCGGAGGCTTCTGCTTCTTCCAGGGCGCGCTCGGTGCCGGCTCCTCCGGGCAGGCGGCCCAGCGGCGGCGGCGGCTCAGCCGGGACAGCCCCCGCCGCCCCCGCGGCCATGGCGGCCCCGGAGCTCCGCTCGCCGCGGCCGCCGCTGCCCGACTGAGCCGCGGACGCTTCCGGACCCCGCCGCGGGGGCGGGGCCAGAGCGGCAGCCAATCAGAGCAAAGTACGCGCGGGGAGGCGGCGAATCGGACAGCGCTTATGGAAGTTCGCTCTTTCATTGATAGGCAGCTTGAGCCAATCATCATCAAGAGTGCGGTTTGTGCGGCCCAACCGCAGCCAAGCACAGCTCAAGCACCAATCGCGAGCGAGAACGGGGGGCTCGTTGCGTGGCAACGCGCACGAAAATGTTTGGTGGCATCAGCCAATCGAAACGGAGAATGATGTGCTGCCAACCAATCGCGTCGGACGCAACCGCAAAATTATAATAGCTGGGGGGCGTGGCGGCTCCACCAATCAGGAGTTACTTACAGCAATGATTGACAGCCGGGAAGGACGGGAGGCCACGCCCCCGGTACGTCAGCCCCGCCCACCGCCCCTCTTAAAGGAGCCGCACCATTTAAAGGGGGGGCCGGGGGTCCCATTTTGGGGGTCCCCCTTGGGTGCGGGGCGCGGGGGGCTCCCCCAGAACCTTCACGCACGCACAGGGCGGGCTCCCCCCAGAACCGCGGCGCACACGCTCCATCTCTGCACCCTTTATTTGCGAAGGCGCGGGGGGGGGGGCGCCCCCCCGGCGTGGGGCGGGGGTCTCAGGGGGGGGACCCCCGGCACGGCCGCTTGCTGAGGTTCCCCAAAAGCTGCTGCTGCTGAGGGCGGTAGGGCACCACGAAGGCGTCGGGGGGCAGCAGGGCCCCCCCGTCCGCCCCCAGCCGCCCCATCAGGACGTAGCTGGAGCCTGGAAGGGATTTGGGGAGGGGGCGTCAGGAGCTGGTGGGGGGGCGCGGAGACCCCCACGGGCTCCCTCGGGGCACACGCACCTTTCTTGAGCACGGGGCAGGGCCGGCAGGGCAGCTGCAGGCGCAGCGCGGAGCCCTTGGCCGCCCCCGGGACCCCCGGGACCCCCGACTTGTAGAGGGCGAGCACGGAGACCACCGCCCAGCCCGGCTCCTGCGGCGACCCCCGCGACACCGATTTCACCGTCCCCGTCAGCACTGCGGGCACAGCAACGGGGTGGTCGGGCACCCCAAAACCTCCGAGACCCCCGGGGCGGGGAGGTTCGGGGGTGCCCGACCCCCCGCTCCGTGCCTCAGTTTCCCCGGGAGGTTTGGGGGTCTCCCGGTGCTCCCGGGGGATCCTCACCGAAGTCGCTGCTGCAGAAGTTGCTCTGGAGGGTCCCGGTGCGGCGGCAGCGTTGGGGGCAGGGGGCGGCCGTGGCGGGGCTGGGGGGCGGCTGCCCCTTGCCCCCAGCGCGGGGTTTGTGGGTGGGGGTCTCGGGGGCGCTGCCCCCCTCCCGTAGGGTGTAGGTGGCCGAGAAGCCGTCGGCGGTGACGCTCAGGTCCGACACGAACTGCACCAGCAGCTCCGGGGAGCGGGACACGATGGGGCTGGGGGGCACCGGGGGGCACCGGGGTCAGGGGGGTCACCGGGGGTCAGGGGGGCTTTGGGACGGGGTCCCAGATGGGTTTGGAGGGGTCTCAGGCGGTTTGGGGGGGTCCCAGGGGGGTTTGGGGGGGTCTCAGGTGGGTACGGGGCAGTCCCGGGTGGGTTTGAGGGGGTCCCAGGTGGGTTTGGGGGGTGCTCAGGGGGTCCAGATCCCTGTTGTGGTGGTTTGGGGGGGCTCAGGGTGAGTTTGGGGGGTCCCAGGGGGGTTTGAGGGGGTCCCAGAGGGGTTTGGAGGGGGCTCAGGGGGTTTGGGGGGGTCTCAGGTGGGTACGGGGCAGTCCCGGGTGGGTTTGAGGGGGTCCCAGATGGGTTTGGGGGGTGCTCAGGGGGTCCGGATCCCTGTCAGGGTGGTTTGGGGGGGGCTCAGGGTGGGTTTGGGGGGGCTCAGGGTGGGTTTAGGGCTGATCTGGACGGTTTGGGGGGGCTCAAGGTGGGTTTGGGGGGGTCCCAGGTGGGTTTGGGGGGGCTCAAGGTGGGTTCGGGGGGGCTCAGGGTGGTTTGGGGGGGCTCAGGGTGGGTTTGGGGCAGTCCCAGGTGGGTTTGGGGGGGCTCAGGGTGGGTTCAGGGGCGATCTGGGCGGTTCGGGGGGGCTCAGGGTGAGTTTGGGGGGGCTCAGGGTGGGTTCAGGGCTGATCTGGGCGGTTCGGGGGGGCTCAGGGTGAGTTTGGGGGGGCTCAGGGTGGGTTCAGGGGCGATCTGGGCGGTTCGGGGGGGCTCAGGGTGGGTTCGGGGGGGCTCAGGGTGGGTTTGGGGGGGCTCAGGGTGGGTTCAGGGGTGATCTGGGCGGTTCGGGGGGGCTCAGGGTGGGTTCGGGGGGGCTCAGGGTGGGTTCGGGGGGGCTCAGGGTGGTTCGGGGGGGCTCAGGGTGGGTTTGGGGGGGCTCAGGGTGGGTTCAGGGCTGATCTGGGCGGTTCGGGGGGGCTCAGGCGGGGTCGGGGCAGGCTGTGGGGGGCTCGGCCGGGCCGGGGGTCTCACCCGGGGGTCTCCTCCCCGCAGAAGCGGCCGAGGCGCCGCGCGTCGTCCCGCGCCCCCCCCTCGAACACGGCCACGTAATCGTAGCGGCAGTGCGGGTCGGGCTCCACATCGAACTTCCCGAACCGCAGCTCCACCACCTGCGCCCCCCGCCCCAAATCCGGGTCAGACCCCCGCCCCGCACCCCCCGGACCCCCCCGGAGTCCCCCGGAGCCCCCCAACCCCTCCGGACCCCTCCCCAAATTCTCCCGAACCATCCCGCTGCTGTCTCCTCCTTTGGGACCCCCACAAAAGGATTTCTGACCTCCCAAATCCCTCCTCTCCCTCCCAAACCCCCCCAAACCCCTCCTCTCCCCCCAAATCCCCCCCAAATCCCCCCCAAATCCCTCCTCTCCCCCCCAAATCCCTCCTCTCCCTCCCAAACCCCCCCAAATCCCTCCTCTCCCCCACAAACCCCCCCAAACCCCCCCAAATCCCTCCTCTCCCCCCAAACCCCCCCAAATCCCTCCTCTCCCCCCCAAACCCCTCCTCTGCCCCCCAAATCCCTCCTCTGCCCCCCAAACCCCCCCAAATCCCTCCTCTCCCCCCCAAATCCCTCCTCTCCCCCCCAAATCCCTCCTCTCCCCCCCAAATCCCCCCAAATCCCTCCTCTGCCCCCCAAATCCCCCCAAATCCCTCCTCTCCCTCCCAAACCCCCCCAGCCTCACCCAGACCCTCCCCACCATCTCCAAACCCCTCCTGACCCCCACCTCAACCCCCCAAATCCCTCCTGACGCCTCCTGACGCCCCCCAGACCCCCCCGGACCCCCCAAACCTTGTCGGGGGGCGCCACGATGTGCCAGGAGCAGCTGATGCCGGGGGGATAATTCTCCTCGGGCCAGTTTGGGGTGCTCAGGCTCCCCTGGGGCTTCTCCAGCCGCCCCCCACAAAACTGGTGCTCTGGGGGGGCGGGGGAGGTCACATTTTTGGGGGGCACAGACACGTTTGGACACCCCCCCCTTCCATTCCCACACCGCCGGCGTCTCCTCTCTGTCCCTGAAACCCCCAAAATTCGGGGGGAACACTGGGGGGGCTCCGCCAAAACCACCCTGGGACTGGGGGATGGGAGGAGATGGAATTTGGGGAGCGAGACCCCCCCCCGGGAATGTTTTTTGTGAATTTGGGGGGGGGGGGTCCATACTCACCGTCAAAATAGTGCCAAGACTCCCCGAAAAAATGGGGTTTATTTAAGAGCCCCGAACGCCGCCGTCCCTGGGGGGGCCCTGCAAAAGGGTTGGGCTGGATTGGGGGGGCTTGGGGGGGTCTCCACGGCGGATTTTGGGCTGTTTCTGGGGTTTTCTGAGGGATTTCTGGTGTTCCGTGTGGCTTTGGGGGGTCTCCATGTGGATTTGGGGGTGTTCCATGGGGTTTTGGGGTCTCCCTGTCCCCCTTTCCCCCTCAGCTTTTCCCTCCATTTTGTGCCACAGTTTCCTACATTTTTTTCCTGACACTTTGCCCCATTTTTCCCTCTAGCTTTTTCTCCTTTCTTCTGACTCATTTTTCCTCTCAGTTTATTGAAATTTTTCTTTTCAGTGTTCCCCCCTCATTTTTTTTTTCTTTTTGTCTTATTTTTCTCTTTTTCCTTTCACGCTTTCCTCTCCTTTTCTCCTCACCTTTCCCCTCGTTCCTTCCTTTGCACTTTTCCCTCATTTCCCTGTTTTTTCCTCACACTTTCCCCCCATTTTCTCTCCACCCTTTTCCATTTATTCCTCACGCTTTTCCTTCATTTCCCTATTTTTTGGGGGGGTTTTTTTGTTTTGTTTTCGTTGTTGTTTTTTTTTGTGGGTTTTTTTTTTTTTTTTTTTTTTCCTTTTTCTCTCTCATTTTCCCCAATTCCCTTTGGGGTTTTTTTCTCCCGTTTTCAGTTTCTCACCTTTCCCTCTTTCCCATTCCCGCTTTCTCCCCATTCCCACTCTTTCCTCCTCACTTTCCCCCATTTCACAGCTCCCCCCTCGCCGCTTTTCCCACCTCACTCCAGCACCTCCTGGAAGGGCTTTTTGGGGGCTCTCCGTGGGAATTTGGGGTCTCCACAAGACTCTGAGGCCGCTCCTGCAGGGATTTGGAGTTTTCCTCACCTCCAGGGCTCTCTCTGGGTGGTTTTGGGGGCGTCCCCGCGGGATTCTCCCTTCTCCCCGCCGGCGGTGCTCCCTCCCCGCCGGTTTCATTTTTGGGGGGTCTCACCCACCGTTGCTCGGGGGGCTGCCGGCGCTGAACCAGGCCAGGAAGCCCCTCCCGGCCGTGCCGCCGTCGCTCTCCATGTGCAGCCGGAGCCGATTTTGGGGCGCCCGCAGAGCCCCCGGGCGGAAAGTGCCGCAGAAGCGCCCCAAGAGCGGCGCCCCGGGGCCGTGACCCCCGAAAACCGAGAGCGCGTCGAAGCGGCACAGCGGGTCCGGCTCCAGGTCGAAGACGCGGAAGGACAGAGTGGCCACCTGGCCCTCGGGGACCTGGGGGACACTGCGGGGTCAGCGCCCGGCCCTGGGCACGGGGGGTGCTGGGGGTTTGGGGGTGTCGGGGTGTCACCACCCGGCTGGCCCTGACACGTTTTGGGGTGTCACCACCTGGATAACCCTGACACGTTTTGGGGTGTCACCACCCGGCCCTGGGTCAGCTGGGGGGTGCTGGGGGTTTTGGGGACATTTGGGGTGTCACCACCCGGCTAACCCTGACACGTTTTGGGGTGTCACCCCCTGGCCCTCAGGGACCGGGCAGGACATTTGGAGTGTCACCACGTGCCCCTCAGATGACATTTTGGGGTGTCACCCCCTGGCTGGCCCTTATATGACATTTTGGGGTGTCACCACCCGACCCTGGGTCAGCTGGGGGGTGGTGGGGGTTTTGGGGACCCTGGGGTGTCACCACGTGTCCCTCAGATGACATTTTGGGGTGTCACCGCCTGTCCCTCACCGGGAGCGGCACCGGGTGACACCGGGAGGGGAAGGAGCTGGGACGGCCGGGGGAACCGCAGCGTTTTGGGGTGCCCCGCGGGTTTTGGGGGTGCCGTACCGTGATGGTCCAGGTGCAGTTGCTGCCGGGGGGGTAATGCCGGGGGAACCCCTCGCTGGCGATGAACCCCGACTCGCCGCGATGGTCCCCCCCGCACGGGAACACCGGGAACACCGGCCTGGGGGGACACGGGGGGTCACGAACGGGGGAAATCCCGAGCCCGGGGGTCGCGGGTCCCCGGGGAGGGGTCCCGGAATGTTCCGGGGAGTCCCGGGGCGCTCCCGGTGCGCTCCCGGTGCGCACGGGGGTGTCCGGGACCGCGCGGGGGTACCGGACCGGGGTGTCCCGTACCGGGAATATCCCATTCCGGGAATATCCCATTTCGGGAATATCCCGGCCCGGGAATATCCCGTCCCGGGAATATTCCATCCCGGGAATATCCCATTCCGGGAATATCCCATCCCGGGGAATATCCCACTCCGGGAATATCCAATCCCGGGAATATCCCATTCCGGGAATATCCCATTCCGGGAACATCCAATCCCGGGAATATCCCGCCCCGGGAACATCCAACCCCGGGCCAAGCCCTGCCCGGTGCCACGTTCGGGGGGAGGTCCCGTCCCGTCCCGGGGGTCACACCGAGCCGTGTCGTGCCCCGGGGGTCCCGGTGCGGTGCCGGGGGTGCCGTTACCTGCTGGCGTTGGGCCGGGGGCTGGGCGGGGGGCTCGGGGCCGGGTCCTGCCCCGCGGTCGGGTTTGGGGTGAGGACCCCCAGCGCCCCGAGCAGCAGCAGCGGCAGCGGCGGCCCGAGGCGGCTCATGGCGAGGCCGGGCAGGGGCGAAGGGGGCCGGAACGGGGTCGGGACCGGGAAACGGGGCCGGGACGGGGCGAACGGGGCCGGGACGGGGGAGCGGGAATGAACGGGAAGGGGCGTGGCCTACTGGGGACACGCCCAAAGGGGCGGGGCTCATTAGCATGCCTGCGTGGAGGGGCGGAGCCTCCGCTCGGCCCCCACCCCAAGAGGCGTGGCCAGGCTGGAGTGGGCGGGACCAGGTCGGAGTGGGCGTGGCCAGCAGAGAGGAGGCACCAGAACGTGCGGGACGCCCCAAAAATGAGACGCTTCTCTTTAATTAGCGGGATCGCCATTAATTAGGGACTCCCCTGTAAGAAGGGCGGCCCTCCTGACCGAGCGCCCCTCCCACAGACACACACACGCAGGGTGAAGGGTGGGGGGCAGTGTGACAGCAGCTGGGGGCCCCCCCGGCAGGGAGACCCCCGATTGTGGGGTGGGGGGAGGCCGCGATTGTCCATTTGGGGGAGGGGGTGTCCCCAAAACCCCACACCCCCTACGGGATGGGGCCCTGCGCCTTCAGGTCGGGAGCCGAGCGCTGGCGCCGGACGCGGGGTGGGGATGCGCCCACGGCCGGGGGTGGGGACCCCCCATCCAGGGACCCCCGGCGGGGACGCCCCGAGGGATGGGCGGGCGTTGGGGGGCTGTTGTCGGCGTGGGGGGGGTCCCCGCCGCTCCCCCAGGCCAGGCGGTGCTGGGGGTTGCTCTTGAAGGGGAAACGCAGCTTGGAGTCCTGGGGGGCCGGGTGGAAGCGTGGGGGTCGTCGGGGGGGCTGCAGGGCCTGCGGGCCCCCCCCCATCAGCCGGGCCTGCTCCTGGCGCAGCCAGCGCAGCCGCCCCCGCCGGAACGCCGGGTCCTGCTCCATGAGCCGGCACAGCCGCGCCGCCGCCGCCGACGGGGGCGAGGGGGGCGCCGAGCCCGACCCCCCATCCGTGCGGGCCGGGGGGGGGTCCTGGTGGGGCGGCTCGGCCTCGTCTCCATCGTCCTGAGGAGGGGAGGACAGGGGGGTCAGAGGGGTCTGGGGGTTTGTGGCGCTCGGGGGTTTTGGGTGCCGCAGGACTCACCGGCGGCAGCGGGATGACGCGCTCCATCTGCCCCACGCGGTCGCGCAGGGCGCGGATCTGCTCGTCCTTGGCGCTGTTCTGCCGCTTCACCTCGCGCAGGATCCCCGCCAGCCTGTCCAGGTGCAGCCGCAGCCCCTCCACCTCGCTCACCTGCCCGCCGCCCTCCTCGTCCTCGCCGGCGTCCCGCACGTCCCGCACGTCCCGGCCGCTGTCGGGATCGGCGGGATCGTGCTTGCCGTGGCGGCGGCACAGCTCCCGCACCGCCTGCGCCTTCAGGTCGGCCATGCTCACCCACGACGTCGGTGACGGTGATGGTGACGGTGTCGGGGAGCCGCGGCGGCGCTGCGGGATCTGGTAGACGCGCAGCGGCTCCCGGCGCTTGCCCGGTGCCGGTAACGGGAGCCCGGCCCGGCGCAGCACCGAGCGCACGGCGGGCGCCGGCAGCGCCTGGCGCAGCGAGGAGATCAGGCGCCAGCCGGCCTCGTAGCACGGAGGGTCCTCGGGCTGCGGGGTGACACGTTGGGGGGACGTGAGAGCCACGAGGGACACCGGGAACGTCCCCGAGGAGACCCCCGATTCACAACCAGGACAGTCATGGGACACGAAGGGGACCCAGAGGAGCCGGGGGTCACCTGTGACTCCCGGGGACGATCCCTGAGTGCCCCTGGGGTCACCTGTGACACCCGGGGACGATCCCTGAGTGCTCCTGGGGGTCACCCGTGACACCCGGGGATGATCTGAGTGCCCCTGGGGGTCACCTGTGACACCCAGGGACGATCCGAGTGCCTCTGGGGGTCACCTGTGACCCGGGGATGATCCCTGAGTGCCCCTGGGGGTCACCTGTGACACCCGGGGATGATCCGAGTGCCCCTGGGGGTCACCTGTGACACCCGGGGACGATCTGAGTGCCCCTGGGGGTCACCTGTGACACCCCAAGGACGATCCGAGTGCCCCTGGGGGTCACCTGGGACACCCCAAGGACGATCTGAGTGCCCCTGGGGGTCACCTGTGACACCCGGGGACGATCTGAGTGCCCCTGGGGGTCACCTGTGACACCCCAAGGACGATCCGAGTGCCCCTGGGGGTCACCTGTGACACCCCAAGGACAATCCCTGAGTGCCCCTGGGGGTCACCTGTGACACCCAGGGACGATCCCTGAGTGCCCCTGGGGGTCACCTGTGACACCCCAAGGACGATCTGAGTGCCCCTGGGGGTCACCTGTGACACCCGGGGACGATCCGAGTGCCCCTGGGGGTCACCTGTGACACCTGGGGACGATCCGAGTGCCCCTGGGGGTCACCTGTGACACCTCGGACACTCAGGGGACACCAGAGTGCCCCAGGGACCCCCCAGCCCCCCTCACCTGCGGCCGCTCCGACACTTCCTTCTCCGGATGGGGTTGGTTCTCCAGCTCCTGGAGCCTGGGTGGGGGGACACGCTCAGTGTGAGCCCCCCAACCACCCCCAGTGTGTCCCCGGGCCGTGTCCCCACCTCTGCAGGCGCATGTCGATGCCCTGCTGCTCCAGCAGCTCCCGCTGCGCCAGGTTCCAGTCCGGGGGCGGCCCCGGGGACGCGCCCCGTTCCCGCTCCCGCCGCGCCTGCTCCGGGTGCGTGAAGCGGAACACGTGGTTCTTCCCCAAAATGAGGCGGTGGCCTGGTTTGGGGGGGGTTGGAGGGGTCACAGCGGGGTCACGGGGAGATTTGGACAGGGTCACGGGGAGTTTTGGGGGATTTAGGTGGGAAATGGCGGGTTGAGAGTGTCAAAATGAACTCGAGAGGAAGTTTGGGGGTGACACAAGATTGAAGGGAATTTGGGGGGCACGGTGAGGTTTTTGGGAGGGATCAAGCGAGAGGCGCAGGGACTTGGGACGGGGATTTTGGGGAGACACACAGAGACCTGGGAGGGCTTTGGGGGTCCCTACCCGACTTGAGCACCACCGGCTCCGTCACCTGCTTCCCGTTGACGTAGGTCTCGGCCCCCTCACACGGCTCCAGCGTCACCACAACTTCAGGAGGGGACAGCAAGCGGAGGGCGAGTCACCGCCCTGCTGCACTGAGGCAGGGGAACCCCAAATCCCACCCCAAATCCCACCCCAAACCCCCCCAGCCCCACCGGCACGGGGGCAGCGGTACCTGGGGGGGCCGCGGTGACCTGCTCCAGTGGCAGCATTTGGGGGAGGGAGCGGGGGAGAAACAGCGATTACGGCGTGCCAGGAGCGGGGCTGGGCGAGGGGGGCACCCCAAAAACCGGCGCCCCCCACCCCGAACGGCGTACCTTCCCCCGAGGGGTCGGCGCGGCTGCGGAAGAGGCAGTGCTGCTCCCGGATGAACGGCCCCGACAGTTTGATGTCCACGTCCACCTGGCCCACCCTGCAGGAGCGGGGGGGCACAGAGCAAATTGTTGGTCTGGGGGGGGCCCCGAGGGGGTTTGGGGGTGCCACAGCCCCCCGCTGACCTGGTCACGCCGTCCTTGATGTGGTACAGGAGGCACTCGGACATCAGCGGGTCCTCGTTGAGGTTCACCAAGTGCGGGGTCTTTTTTGGGGCGGGGGGCGCAAAATTAAAAACCAGTCAGGGTTGTAGGGGGACCCTCAAGGTGTGCCCCCCTCCCCAGCCCTGTCTGACTTGCCTTTTTGGGGGAGAATACCCCGACGGTGCCGCCGTCCTCCCGCAGAGCCACCCCCATCTCAGCCAGCAGCGCTTCCCTGGGGGGGCACAGGGAATTTGGGGGACTTTGGAGGAGGTCAGGGATGAGATTTGGGGGGGAGGGGGCTATAGGGGGGTGCACCAAGAGCATTTGGGCTGACCGTGGTGAGGCTGGGGGGGTTCAGGTTATTTGGGGGTGTTGGGGAACATTTTGGGGGTCGTGGTGGGGCCCCCCCTCACCGCTCCAGCCTCAGGGCTTCCGTCCGCCGCAGCTTCTCCTCCCACGTCTCGTTCAGCTCCGCGATGATTTTCTCCGTCTCCTGGCAGGAACAACAATTTTGGGGGGGGAATGGAGGTCCCCAAGATTTGGGGGAGGGGGGTCACGGCTCCCTGTGGATCAGGGAGGGGCTGGGAGGTGTTTTAGGGTCACCTGCAGGCGCTCCATGGCCTCCGTAGGGCCCAGGGGGGGCTCCAGCCCCGGGTCCCCATTGAGGGTGGGGGACGTCGTGGCAGCGGGACCGGACACGGGGGTGTCGGAGAGACCTGTGGGGAGATGGGGGGCTCGGTAGAGGGGGTGTATTGCTGCCTGAACCCCCATATCAAACCCCCAGCACCACAGCTGTGCCCCCCACGCTGTCCCTAAACCCCCTCTGCCCCCCAAAACCTCTCTGCAACCAAGACCCCAAATCCGGCCCCTCTGCAGAACCCTCTCAATGTGACCCCCAGACCCCACAGACCCCTTAAGCTGCACCCTCAGCGCCCCAAATCCCGCCCAGCCCCTCACCCTGGGCGCTGAGCAGCTCCCGCAGCCGCGTCACCTCCGCCCGCAGCTCTCGGATCAGCCGCGCGTTCGGGTCCTCGTTGATCACCGCGTGGCACCGGATCTGCTTCGTGCGGTCGGCGTAGCTGTGGGGGGACAAACGGGGCAGGATCAGGGCTGGGGAACCCCCCAGAACTCCCCAAAACCCCCCCAGAGCCCCTGGCTCACCGCAGCGTGCTCAGCGTCTCCTCGTAGCTGCTGTCGGCGGGGCTGAGCGCGGCGATCATGGCCGTGCGCGAGTTCCCGCCTGCGGGGACGCCGTCAGCGGGGGCCGTGCCCCCAAAACGCCTCCTCGCGCCCCAAAACGCCTCCACGCGCCACAAAACGCCTCCTCGCGCCCCAAAACGCCTCCTCGCGCCCCCCGCGCCCCCTCCAACCCACCCAGGTTCTCCTTCAGCAGCCACGTCAGCACCGAGTCCCGGTACGGGATGAAATCCGCCTTCTTCTTCTTGCTGCTCTGCTGCGGACGGGGCAGGGTTGGGGGGTCTCCCCAAAAATCACCGGGACCCCCCGAGGGTGGGTGCGGGGACGGGGTGACCCCCAGACTCACCGCCTCGGCCAGGGCGGAGATGACCTTGCCCAGAGTGGTCAGGGACTTGTTGATGTTGGCGCCTTCCTGGGGAGGGGGAGTGAGGCTCAGATGGGGTCTGGGGGGTCGCCCCCTCTTTTTTGGGGGGCGCAGGGGGTCACGGCTCACCTTGAGGCGGATGCCCTTGGCCCCCGAGGCGTCGGCGCGCTCGCTGCCCGCCAAGTCCACCAGGCTGATGCGGCTCACCTGGGGGGAAGCACGGGGATTTGGGGGGATTTGAGAGAGAATTCTGGGGAAAAATGAGGGTTTGAGGGGATTTGGGGGGATCTGGGAGGGAATTCTGGGGGGGAAATGAGGGTTTGAGGGGATTTGGGGGGATCTGGGAAGGAATTCTGGGGGGAAACGAGGGTTTGAGGGGATTTGAGGGGATTTGGGAGGGAATTCTGGGGGGAAACGAGGGTTTGAGGGGATTTGGGGGGATCTGGGAGGGAATTCTGGGGGGAAATGAGGCTTTGAGGGGATTTGGGGGGATCTGGGAGGGAATTCTGGGGGGGAAACGAGGGTTTGAGGGGATTTGGGGGGATCTGGGAGGGAATTCTGGGGGGGAAACGAGGGTTTGAGGGGATTTGGGGGGATCTGGGAGGGAATTCTGGGGGGATCTGGGAGGGAATTCTGGGGGGGAAAGGAGGGTTTGAGGGGATTTGGGGGGATCTGGTAGGGAATTCTGGGGGGGAAACAAGGGTTTGAGGGGATTTGGGAGGGAATTCTGGGGGGGAAATGAGGGTTTGAGGGGATTTGGGGGGATCTGGGAGGGAATTCTGCAGGGGAAATGAGGGTTTGAGGGGATTTGGGGGGATCTGGGAGGGAATTCTGGGGGGGAAACGAGGGTTTGAGGGGATTTGGAAGGGAATTCTGGGGGGGAAACAAGGGTTTGAGGGATTTGGGGGGGTTTTGTGGAATTCTGATTTGAGGGAGAGGAGAGAATGGCTGATTGCCCACTGAAGGATTTTGGGGGGACTCAGGGGATTGCAGGGGGTGATTCCAGGGGGATCCAAACCCGGGGTTTAGGGGTGACTCTGGGGCTGCCCTGACCTTCTCCGTGGTGAGGTCGCTGAGCGGGTCCTGGCGGCGCTGGCTGAAGACGATGGTGAACACGGCGTGCGAGCGGCTGCTCGTCTCGTTCATGTTGGTGGCCGCCACCGTCCTGCGGGGCGGTTCGGTGGGACCCTCGGTGCTGGGGGGCTCTGGGGGTGCCCCCTGCCCCTCCGTGGCTCACCTGGCCTTGTTGCCGCTGTCCATGAGGTCGGCGATGTCGGCGAAGGAGGCGACGGCCAAGCGCGACAGGTCCTGCACGTAGGGCCCGAGCAGGGGGTGCTCCCGCACCCGCAGCCCCCCACGGCTCTTGGGGTTCAGCAGGTCCCGCACCCGCTCGCAGTAGATCTCCAGGTAGCTCACCTGGGGGGGCCAGCACTGTCAGGAGAGCCCCCGAAAATCGTGGGGGTCGGGGGTGAAACCGCAAAGCGGCGGTGGGGAAAGAGCCAAACCGGGAGGGAACGGATGGGGATGTGGGGGGAGGAATCCCCGAAATGGTGATGGGGGGAGGAATCCCCGAAATGGTGATGGGGGGAGGAATCCCCAAAATGGTGATGGGGGGAGGAATCCCCAAAATGGTGATGGGGGAGGAATCCCCGAAATGGTGATGGGGGGGGAGGAATCCCCAAAATGGTGATGGGGGAAGCCCCCAAAACGTTGGGGTGGGTGGCAGATGAACCCCCAAACTGCTATGGGGAGTGTGGGGCGAGTCTGCAAGAGCTGAACACCCAAATTGCCTGGGGGAGGTGGGTCTGCAAGCCAGGGGCCGTGCTCTGAACCCCCAAACCCCCCTCACCACCTCCCCTAAGAAAAAGGATTTTCCTTTCCAAACCCCTTTGGGGGGGAAACGAGGGTTTGAGGGGATTTGGGGGGGATCTGGGAGGGAATTCTGGCAGGGAAATGAGGGTTTGAGGGGATTTGGGGGGATCTGGGAGGGAATTCTGGTGGGGAAATGAGGGTTTGAGGGGATTTGGGGGGATCTGGGAGGGAATTCTGGTGGGGAAATGAGGGTTTGAGGGGATTTGGGGGGATCTGGGAGGGAATTCTGGGGGGGAAATGAGGGTTTGAGGGGATTTGGGGGGATCTGGGAGGGAATTCTGGTGGGGAAATGAGGGTTTGAGGGGATTTGGGGGGATCTGGGAGGGAATTCTGGGGGGAAATGAGGGTTTGAGGGGATTTGGGGGGATCTGGGAGGGAATTCAGGGGGGGAAATGAGGGTTTGAGGGGATTTGGGGGGATCTGGGAGGGAATTCTGGTGGGGAAATGAGGGTTTGAGGGGATTTGGGGGGATCTGGGAGGGAATTCCTTCCCTCCCCAAACCCCAGATCTGCCTCACCTCCACAGAAAATGAAAGCTCAGGCGACCCCTCCCGAGCGACGCGGGCGAACAGGTCCTCGCAGAGCTGCGGGCGAGCGGCGCTGAGCTGCGGCTGCGGGGGGCTGCCGCCCTTCCCCAGCCCCTGGGGAGCCCCCCAGGCCCCGGACCTGCGGGATAATCCCGCGCTGCCCCGGCTCCTGCCGCCCCATCATGGTGTAGGACTTGCCGGCGCCCGTCTGGCCGTAGGCGAGGATGCAGACGTTGTAGCCCTCGAAGGCGTGCGCCAGCATCTCCTCCCCGATGTCCTGGTACACGCGGCGCTGCGAGGCGAAGTTGGGGTCCTCCTCCTGCGGGGCAGCGAGTCAGGGACCCCCGGAGCACCCATGGGTGCCCCCCACGCCCGGCCGGCACTCACCGAGGTGTGGGACCAGTAGGAGTAGTCGAAGGTGAAGTGTTTGGTGGCTTCTTTGGGGAGCTTGGGGTTGGTGATGCCTGAGGGTGACAGCGGCGTTGGGGTGACCCCCCCACGTCACCCTCAGCCCCCACAGCGCCCCACGTCACCATCACCCCCCCAAAAAACCTCTCTGTGGCTATTTTTAGCCCGGCGGCAGCTGGTCCTCCGGGCCCGAGGCCAGCACGGGACAAGGACGGGGACAGGGTGGGGGGGTTCCCACGGCGGTGCCCCCACCCCGGGGTGCTCCCGCTGCGGACCCCCGTCCCACGCGCCCCCCAATCACTCACAGGTGGTGTTCCCCCGCATCTGGATGACGCACTTGGCCTGGCGGCTGCTCTCCCTGGCGCTGAAGGGCCGCACTCGGACCGCCACCTTCACCGAGGCGCCCGCCATGCCCGCGACAGCCTCACCCTGTCGCGACAGAGGGACGCGCTGACCCGCCGGGACCCTCCGCCCGGGGGTGCGGGACCCCCGGTGACACCCGCCACCCACCCCAGCGGCTCCCAGCTGTGGGATCGGGGCCTGGATCCGCGTCCCTGCCCCAATCCCGCTCAAGGAGAGCCCTAAAAATAACCCGGGGCGGTGCTGGGGGAGGGGGTGACCAAAGAGCCCCCCCAGCCCGACCCCCCCCCAGCACCCCCGAGGCACGCTGGCAGGGTCAAAGGTCAGGGCTGGGGGTGAAGGGTGGGATTTGGGGTGAGGAGAGAGGAAGAGGAGGGTGAGAAGCCCCCCTGGATCTCCCCCCACCACTGCCAGGTGACGCCAGGTCAGCACAAACAGCACATGACACCCCTTACCCTGCCCCTGACCCCCCCAAAATGCGGCGGCCCACCCCCGGGGCTGAGCCCCCCCACCACACAAAACCCTAAACCCAATTTCTACACCACTCTAACCCCTCAAGCCCCCTATAGGACCCCTAAACCCAATTTCTACACCCTTCTAACCCCTTAAATCCCCTATAGGACCCCTAAACCCAATTTCTACACCCTTCTAACCCCTTAAATCCCCTATAGGACCCCTAAACCCAATTTCTACACCCCTCTAACCCCTCAAGCTGCCCTAAACCCAATTCCTACACCCCTCTAACCCCTTAAACCCCCTATAGGACCCCTAAACCCAATTTCTACACCCTTCTAACCCCTTAAATCCCCTATAGGACCCCTAAACCCAACTCCTAAACTCCTCTAACCCCTCAAACTGCCCTAAACCCAATTCCTACACCCCTCTAACCCCTTAAACCTCCTATAGGACCCCTAAACCAAATTCCTACACCCCTCTAACCCCTTAAATCTCCTATAGGACCCCTAAACCCAACTCCTAAACTCCTCTAACCCCTCAAACTGCCCTAAACCCAATTCCTACACCCCTCTAACCCCTTAAACCCCCTATAGGACCTCTAAACCCAATTTCTACACCTCTCTAACCCCTTAAATCTCCTATAGGACTCCTAAACCCAATTCCTACACCCCTCTAATCCCTCAAACTGCCCTAAACCAAACTCCTACCCCACTCCAACCCCTCAAACCCCCCCTAACCCGCCTTTTAGGCACCCGAGCCCCCCGAGCCCCGTGCCCAGCACTCCCAAACCACCCCGCAGCCTCTCCAGACCCACCCCCCGCTCCCCGGGATGCCCCTAACCCCCCGTCCCACACTCCCGGTACCCCCCGGGACCCCCCGGGACCCCCCCAACCCGCGCCCCCCGGGTTTGCACCCCAAGCCCCGGCACCTCCCGGGCCCCTCCGCGCTCACCGGCCCCGTGGTGCCGCATCCCCCTGGCCCGGGCCGGTCCCGGCGGTTCCGCCGCTCCGGTCCCGGCGGGTCCGGCTCCGGGGCTGCGGCCGCGCCCGGCGGGGCGGGGCGGGGCGGGGGGCGTGGCCTGCCGCATGAGGCCCCGCCCCCTCTTAAAAGGGCAACGCCGTGCCGGTGAGCCCCACCTCTATCTTACCTCGCGATTTTCCCTGTTGTTTCTCTCTCCTTTTTCCTTCAAGGTTGTGTTTTCTCCATTTCTTCCTCACGCATCTGTATTTTTCTCGTGAAATGGTCATTTCCATTCTGTCTTAATTTTTTTCTTTCTTCTTTTTCCCTTAGGTTTGCCTACATTATTTTTTTCGCTCAAAAACGGCTGCAGAAAACCCCCAAATCTTCAAAATGGCCCCAAAGTCGCCTCAAGAACTTTTATTTCCAATCCTAATGGTACTTTCCATACAACTGGAAACCTTATTTCGTGGCTGCGTAGCCTCAGAGTAGAACTAGCAGTACTAGCCGTAGAGTTTACTGTGTAGGCAAGGCTGAATGCTTGTGAATTCATCGGCGTACTCAATAAAAGCAACAGCCAACGAGACACCGGCGCTGTTTAATTAAAAAATTAATCTTCGGCGCCCCCCCGCCCACACGACCCCGAATGACCCCGCCCTGGCCACGCCCCCGCCCGGCGGCGCTGCCCCGCCCCTTGCGCGCTGACGTCACGCGCCGGCGGCGCTGGCCCGCGGCGGGCGGGAAGATGGCGGCGGGCGGCGGGGGCGGGGGCGGCGGCGGCGGCGGCGGCCCTGAGGCGCCAGGTGGGGCCGGGGGGGCCGGGGCGGGGCCGAGGGCGGGGCCCGGGAGGTGTGGGGCGGGGAGGGGTCCGTTGTGTGGGGCGGGATGTGGGGTGGAGATGTGGGGCGCAGTGGGCGGGGCGGGGGGGTCCATAAGGTGGGGATGTGGGGAGCAGTGGGGCGGAGATGGGGGTACAGGTCAGGGTTGTGGGGTGGAGTGGGGAGGGACGTGTGGGGTTATAGGGCAGGGATGTGTGGGGTTATAGGGCAGGGATGTGTGGGGTTATAGGTCAGGGATGTGTGGGGTTATAGGTCAGGAATGTGTGGCGTTATAGGGCAGGGATGTGTGGGGTTATAGGGCAGGGATGTGTGGGGTTATAGGGAAGGGATGTGTGGCGTTATAATGCAGAAATGTGTGGGGTTGTAGGGCAGGGATGTGTGGGGTTATAGGGCAGGAATGTGTGTGGTTGTAGGGCAGGGATGTGTGGGGTTATAGGGTAGGGATGTGTGGGGTTATAGGGCAGGAATGTGTGTGGTTGTAGGGCAGGGATGTGTGGGGTTATAGGTCAGGGATGTGTGGGGTTATAGGTCAGGGATGTGTGGCGTTATAGGGCAGGGATGTGTGGGGCTATAGGGCAGGGATGTGTGGGGTTATAGGGAAGGGATGTGTGGGGTTATAGGGCAGGGATGTGTGGGGCTATAGGTCAGGGATGTGTGGGGTTATAGGGAAGGGATGTGTGGCGTTATAATGCAGAAATGTGTGGGGTTGTAGGGCAGGGATGTGTGGAGTTATAGGGCAGGGATGCGCGGGATATGGGGCAGGGATGTGCAGGATATGGGGCAGAGCTCCTGGGTGTAACAGGGGCAGGTGCTGCGGACGGTGCCGGGGTCTCTGCTCCCGTGTCCCCCCCGGTGCCATCCCGCTGTCCCCCCCGGTGCCATCCCGCTGTCCCCCCACCCCATCAGCCGTTTTTGGGGGTCCCTGCAGGTTCCAGCCCCTCCTGTGCCCCCCGAGGGGAGCCCTGAGGGCCCCACAGGCGCCCCGAGATGAGCAGCAAGGAGCCCCCCGAGGTCTCTGGTAAGGGCGGGGTTGTGGGGGGCACGGGGGGCACAGGGGGACGCGCGGTGGGGACGCTGAACCCTCCTCCCGGCAGAGAGGAGCCACCTGAAGGTTTTCCTGCCACGGAAACTGGTGGAATGTTTGCCCAAATGTCCCGTCCTGCCCAAGGAGCAGCTGCGCTGGAACACCAACGAGGTGTGGGGGGTGTGGGGGGCTGGCAGAGGGGTGTGGGGAGGTGGGAATGGGGACAGAGGGGACGTGTGGGGCACGGGAATGGGGATGGAAGGGACGTGGGGCATGTGGGGACACGGGAATGGGGTGGAAGGGACGTGGGGCATGTGGGGACACGGAAGGGACGTTAAAAGGACGCAGGAAGGGGGCTGGCTGGGGATGGGGGGAAGATGTGGGGCAGGGAAGGGATGTGGCAGGACGGGGGGACATCAAGGCAGCGTGTCAGCAATGGGGTGACACAACTGGTGGGGGACAGGGGACACAACCGGGCCGCCTGTCCCCCCAGGAAATCGCCTCGTACCTCATCACCTTTGAGAAACACGACGAGTGGCTCTCGTGCTCCCCAAAAACCAGGTGGGGGGGCCCAGGGAGGCGCCCTGGGGGGCTGGGGGGGCCCCGGGGGGCTCCCGGGGGCCCCCTGACCCCGTGTCCAGGCCGCAGAACGGGTCGGTGATCCTCTACAACCGGAAGAAGGTCAAGTACCGCAAGGACGGGTACTGCTGGAAGAAGCGCAAAGATGGGAAGACGACGCGCGAGGACCACATGAAGCTGAAGGTGCAGGGAGTGGAGGTAGGAGGTCTCCAAAACAGCCCCCCCCCCCACTCAAAAATGCCTGATGCCCCCCAAATAATCAGCCTTTTCCATAAAATTGCCCCTGGTTCAGGTATGGGGAGCTGGGAGGGGATGGAGGGTGTCAGGACACACAGGAGGGGGGTCAGAGGGTGCTGGGTGCCCTCAAGGGACAGCTTTGGTGTGCTGGGCACACCCAGTGGGTGCTTTAGGTGGTCCAAGATCCCCAGATGTGTGTCTAGGGGCGCGGGGAGCTCCCTGGTTGGTGGTTTGGGGGTGTTGGGAGTTGCCCAAAATGGGCTCTGGGGATGTCTGCACCAGCACAGGGCAGTTTGAGGGTGACGGGGATCCCTTGGGGGGCACTTTGGGGGTGTTGGGAGATGCCCAGAATGGGCTCTGGGGGTGCCAGGACCAGCACGGGGCGGTTTGAGGGTGACGGGGGTCCCTCGGGGGGCACTTTGGGGGTGTTGGGAGTTGCCCAGAATGGGCTCTGGGGGTGTCAGGACCAGCACGGGGCGGTTTGAGGGTGACGGGGATCCCTTGGGGGGCACTTTGGGGGTGTCAGGCTCCTAGCTGAAAGCTTGGGGTTGCCCACACTTGGCTACGAGACCCCCACAAGATGCAGCGACCCCCCCAGAGGCCGCTGTGGGGCTCAGGTGGATGTTGGGGGGCTCCCCCAATCTGTTCTGTCCCCCCCCAGTGCCTCTACGGCTGCTACGTCCACTCCTCCATCGTCCCCACCTTCCACCGCCGCTGCTACTGGCTGCTGCAGGTAACGGGGGGCACCGGGACCCCCCCAGCCCTGCCGGGACCACCCGGGCCGCCCCCAGAGCTGCCGTGTGCCCCCCAGAACCCCGACATCGTGCTGGTGCACTACCTGAACGTGCCGGCCATGGAGGAGTGCGGCCGGCCCTGCGCCCCCCGGCTCTGCAGCCCCCCGCTCTGCGCCGGGGCCCCCCCGATCTGCGCCGCCGCCGCCGACCCCCGCGAGTGGCTCAAGTGGTCCCAGGAGGAGCTGGTGGCCCAGCTGCGCCCCATGTGTGAGTGGGCTGCCCCCCGAGCCTTTCCCTTGGGGGGTTCACCCCACGGCTCGGGGGGGAGGGAGAGACGCCCTAAATCCGCTCTTCTGACAGATTTGTTGTGCCCTCTCTGGTGGTCTGCAGCATAAAGTGGGGCTGGGGGTGGGGGGATGCCCCCAGACACACCTGTGGGGTTTTGCCTCCCTTTTCCTGTGGGGTGGGCTAAAATTGGGGCAGCGTGAGGCTGTTTTGGGGGTTTGAGGAGGTCACCCCAAACCTTCTTAGAGAGGAAAGTTGTACCATCTTTCCCACGGGATGGGGTGGGGTGAGGGGGTGTGTGTGGCTGTTTTGGGGGACTGGACAGAGAGTGCACCGCACAGCTCCGTTCCTGAGGGATTTTCCCCCTTTTCCCACAGTCCACGGGGTGAAGTGGGGCTGTGGGAACGGGGGCGCTGCCCCCGGGCTGTCCCTGGAGCAGCTGGTGCAGCACGTCCTGGAGCGGCACCAGGCCCGGCCACCACCCCGTACCCACGCCTGCCTCTGCGCCGGGGGCCTGGGTGAGACAGAACCCCCAAAACCCCCCGGGAACCCCCCAGAACCCCCCAAAACCCCCCGGGAACCCCCCAGAACCCCCCAAAACCCCCAGAACCCCCCAAAACCCCCGGGAGCCCCCCAGAACCCCCTGGAACCCCGTGGGGACCCCCCGGGGACCCCCAAACCCCTGGGGACCCCACCGGGACTCCCATCCCACAAACCTTCCATCTCTTCCTGGGCTACTCCTCAACCCTCCCTGGGATCCCCCCAAAACCAGTGCAGCACCCTGAACCCCCTTGGGAGTGCCCAGAACCCCCTCAGCACCCCAAAGTGTCCTTTGGACCCACGTGGAACCGCCCCAAACCCCTCGGGACAGCCCCAAATTCACTCTGAACGCCCTGAATCTCTTCGGGACCTCCCCAAATTCTCCTGCCACCCCGAAATGTGCCCCAAACCTCCCTGTGCCCTACTGATGCTCCCCCTTTGCCCCCCGCAGGCGCTCCCGGCCACAAGTGCAGCAGCACCAAACACCGCATCATCTCCCCCAAAGTGGAGCGGGGGGGCGAGGGGGACCCCCCCAAACCCGCCCCCTCCTCCCCTGACACCACCCAGCCCTCCCCAGGCCTGGGGGGGGGCTCGGCGCCCCCCGAGGGGTCCCGGGCCCCCCCGTTTCCCCCGGCCGGGGGGCTGCCGCTCCTGGTGGTGGCCAGTTTGGGCGGGGGGGCAGCGCCGGGGGGGCCGGAGCAGCCGCTGGGCCTGACCCCCAGCCAGCACCTGGTGACCCCCGAGGGCACCTGCCCCACCGCCCCGCCGCCCCCGGCTGCCTTCGACCCCGACTGCTTCCTCAACAGCCCCCGCCGCGGGCAGACCTACGGCTGCGAGGCCGAGGCGCCCC